CCCCCCGCCACTCAGTGTTATTTAGGGTACGCGTATGCTCGTTCCCTCTTTTTGAAAGCACCCCCTATCTGAGGACTGCCAACATTTCCGAACCTCCCTTTCGCGGGCTTTGCGCGGGCTTTTCCTGCCTTGGAGACCACCTAAATTCGGAAAAATGCTCAATGTACCCCCCTAAAGAGATGAGAGAAAAAAAAAGAAAAACACCCCCTTTTTAAAGAAATCTCCGGGTGAAAAGTCAAATACACCCCTTTTTTTTTTACAATTCTCGGGCCGGACTTCGTCGCACGAAAAGTACCCCTTTACCGGACATTTTGGTATTCGCATGCGGTCATTCTGACCCCGGAGTGGGGGGGGGGGGGGGGGACTGGGACTATGTCCCATTTGCAGCCAACATCAAATTCTGTAGAACTTTGCACGAATTAAGTCACGTATGGCCTATCTGAAATTTAAACTTAGCAGTATACCCTAGTATTCGAATAATGCAAGGAAATACGTTTAATTTCTAGACTTCACTGTTGGACACTATTGATTGACTGACTGACTTCATTTTTTCTTTAGTAATAACAAACATCAAATGAGCTGTTAAAAGGTACATGAGCATTTTTCTACATCATTTTACCCACTTCTTGAAATGTCCAAAATTAAAGTGATTGAATATTTGCGCAGCACAAAACGTACACCATTCGGTACAAGGTTCTGCAAATCAGGCTTTTTACTAAAAAAGATTGCAATCCCTAAATTCGATTCGACAACTAACGGTCGTTATTTTCCCACGAAATGACATTTTCAAGCCCTTTCATTTTGAGGGAAGTTCTAAATTAGTATTATCTTTCAAATGCCGGTGGAATTAAACCTTTTTATTTTTGGCCTGTAAATGGGATATAGTACCTTTAAGTTTCTGTTAAGAAGGCTTAGGCGTAAAGGGATTTACTGCAAGGACGAAATATGAAAACGTCGGACTATGATTGGTATTCAATTCAATTTGTTAGTTGGTTTGGGTTACGTTCTAGGCCTATATTAATTGCTAAATACAAAATGATACATTGGGCTCTATACCTAAACCTCGTGTTTTAGTTACTAACATAAATGAGCATCCTAGTCCCTAAGCAAATATTGAGGGTCCCAACCAAGGCCTTGACAACAACAACAAAAAAATTGTTTCTGCGCATAGCATTATGCAAATTATACCGAACAAAATTAGTCTCATGCACATCGTTTCTTCTTCAGCTTCCGGAAACGAACCTGGGGTTTTTGTTGCGCAATTCTGATTACTCAGTCCTTTTGCCAAATTTGTGCGTGAGATTAGGTTTATGGTAAGTCCGGGACGCAAAAACGGCAACTTAGCGCGACCCTTGCCTATTATCATTTTTTAAAAATATATTGCTCTACAAAACAAATCTGCCACAAACTTTAGAAATACATGAGAGGAGGAAAGAATACGGTACTCGCTGGTATAATATTATGTAACACAGAAATTTATTTAGCATCAGTCTATAAAATGTACTTATAAAAACAAAGGGTCAATGTTACATTTTCTAATCTTGGGCTAGTGTCTCATTTGAATGAAATATTGCTTCAGACCATGATTTACGTCAATAAACGAAAATATAATGACCTGCCAGTGTCAATAGGGTGTCAAAATATGCTCATCTGACCGTAAATAAATGCCTAATACCCGTGAGCTTCAAAGTGCTCCGCCCCCTGGAACCCATGTAAATTTACGCTTGGCTCGCTATACGCTCTACCTGATCGTAAATACTTTAGCCCTTCCCCCCCCCCCCTCACTTTGAAAAAAAAAAAACGTTTCGCGGGACGTTGCCTGGATTCTATAAACTATTTTGAGCTCTGTGGAACAATAGCTGCTATATACGTACCGTTACCGGAAAAAAAAAGAAAACGGAATATTGAAGCATCATCATTCATTGGCATTTTAATGCATTCGGAGTAATTAAATCATAAATAATGTCTTGCCTTTCATTTAATTCCTCTCGGTCCTTTACCAGTCTTTGAGGTTCATTACTCCGGCATAGATGAGGGGGTGCAAGCTAGCATGTGATGTTGGGGGCGAACATCGAAATTCTAATCAAAATTAATTGGTCAAGTATTGCGGGCTTTATTGGTGCAGGAAAACAAATTGCACGGGTGGGAAAAGATAAACTATGATCCAAAAAGTAATGGAATTTAAGATTTTTCATACAGCCGCTCTGTTCTTTAAACGAAGCGAACTATTGTTTGAACTTTTAAGTAGTGTCAGGATATCCTGTGGATGTGATAAATTAGTTTCTGCGAGTAGCATAGCTCTTTCTGTAATGTACTTCGGGCATTCGGTGAGAAAGTGGTTTACAGTTTCATTAAGTCCTATGCAGTTATTGCAATGTCCTGTCGGGCGAATATTTAATATGAAGGGATCTACGTTCAAACCTATCACTCCTCGTCTTAATCTATGGAGAATACTTTCTTCAAATCTGTTCAAATTACATAAATATGATTGATTTACTGCAGGCAGTACCTAATAAGTATCTATATAAGAAAACTATAAGAAATATTCCATCTGTCTTGTCAGAGTTTTATATACGTTTTGGTAATAATAATCTTTATTTCTGAAAAGGATAATTTATTACAAATTTCAATGTTATTTTGTAAAGCGGATTTTGCATAAAAATCTGCCATTTCATTTCTGTGTACACCACAATGGCTAGGAATCCACTCTAAGTATATGTGTTTTCCTTGATAAGTTAACTTTTATACTTATAGTAATAATTTCAGTTACAAATTTTATTGTGGTATCTTCTTCATCCTTTATTGCAAGCAGGGCGCTTACCGAGCACAAAAATAGCAATGTCAACATACATATTCATTATATACCTCTGTTTTGACTGTCAAGTGGATTTGGCGCCTTATAAATCATATGTATTATTATTATTATTGGTCGAAATTGGAGTCGTGATTTTAGCCAATCCCGTAAAGAAACGAACAATGTCAGTAAGGATCAATAGTTCATGAGTGAGATCCCCGAAAGATTCCGGGTACCCGGAAAATAGTAACATTTTGATGAGATCCCCATTGCTTTACATGTTAAAACCTACTTTGTGCGAACGCGGATATACCATACAGTGCTTTTTGTCTGCGATTCCCAAATGATTGTAACGTTCAATCATTTTTTCCAGCGAAGATTAACAGACAGTGTGTCAGATTTTCTGTGATGTTTTAACCAATCTTTACTTGAGAAAAGGATAAAGTAAGAATTCTTTGTAGATTTTTGTGTCAATTCGGTATATAAAAGACATATCGACTGCTTTAATATTCGAGGCATAGTATAGGCTCTCGGGGACGTTACATCCTGCTATCACCCCTCGGCACGGTTCGGGGCGAAGGACGATTGCAGCTAGCTTGGCTCTGAAAGATGATGTATGATCCGTCAGTCATTTGGCTTGTTTAAAGGAAAAGGCTCATGTGGTACATAAAAAGAAGCAGAACTTATTCCAAGATTTGACCCATCTCACGCATCTAGATGTGCAGTTGACTTGACCTTTTGGTGCCGATCAATAATTCTAAGCTGCGTTGACGTAAATAAGAAGGGTTTTCATGTTCGTTCACTATTTCGCTTAATTCTATCGACACGTTTGAAGTATTAATTATCCAGGGGGATAGGTGTAGTGTAGGGTTCAATAGTACAATTTTTCATTAGTTCTGTTCTGCATCCAAATGGCTTGTTATTATTTTGATGTTTCAAAATTTCCATTTGCCAGCTTGGATTAACAACAGGGTGATCTCGATGCATTACAATCTTTTGCCTGAATCTGTCTGCCAACATCTGTCTTCTTATTAGTCTAAGGGCATTTTCACCTATATAGTTCTACTTGTAATGTATCTAAGGATGTAAGAGGAAGGGCTCCCGCACAAATTCTCAATGCTTGATATTGAAAGGAGTCAAGTGATTTCTTAAAAACTTGGAGCCGCACTGTCATAAACTTTAACACCAAAATCTAATAACGATCTAATCAGTGCTTTATTATAGTAGGGATTTCGAGGAGCTTCCCCATGTAGTCCCAGTAATTAAGGCACCTAAAAATGATAAGTTTCTTTTAAAATCTAAGGACTATTTAAGGCATCTATGTGCGACTTCCATGTCTTTTTTCAAACATAAGTCCTAATAAGAATTGCTTTTTTGATATGAATAAAAGAGCGTCATTGTTAAATTTCAGTTCTGGGTATTTTGCTTTATTTTTTAAGGTAACAAACACTGGAAAGGCTTCACTCTGTGAAAGGCTAAGGCGAAAGCCCCATTTCGTAAACCATTCACTCAGTGTATTCAGATAGCACTGTATTCTGTTTGAAATAACTTCTATGTTATTACCTGACATCCAGATAACCCCGTCATCAGCATAATTGCTTAACCCATTGCTTACTGGAACCTGGAGGTCCATGTGTTAAGTCTATGGGAATTAGAGAATTCAGGAGTCAACGGGTTAATTCATCCTTTGGAATTACTTCCTTGGGTGAGGCTGTTAGAGTTTTCATGTAATTTTTGCTTTTCTTTTCCAATTTTTACCTGAAAAGTCCGCTCTTTCAGATAGTTACAGAGAAATGCAAGCATATTACCTGTAATACCATAGTTTGTACACTAGCTGGACCTCTGATACAAAGTCTGTCTGCCTTTTCAACATCAAGAAAGATTGCTAATGTACATTCACCAACGTTTATGCTTCTTTGGATAGCATTCTCCAAATGGACAATGTTATCCGTGACACCACGTCTACTACGAAAGCCAGTCATGAAGGGAGCGAGTATATATTTGTATACTACATACTATTGGAGTCTATTCTTGGCAATCCATTCTAGTATCATGGCAAAACACGAGGAAAGTGCTATGTGTCGGTACGACGATACATTTCTTGGTCTTTGTGTTATTCATTCATGCTTGAACGATACTTTACAATACTCCGTCATGCAGGCGATATAAAGGCGATACGGCTATTTGACCGAACCATCGTCTGAAAATGTGCAAAATTGTCCAGCTACGCGTGCTGCCATACTATCAAAGACTTTTGCAGTGTTGTTTGGCGCGCCGGTGTCACAAAATCATTCTCAATGAATGTATTGTATTAAATGCACTTTTTCAACAGAAAATATCACAGATTCATTATCAGCTGACGTTAGATGGAATAATTAAGGCAGGGTAAATGAAGTTTCCAATTGGAGGTTGGCGTACAGTGATCTCTCCCGATCTCTCTTGCAAGTACGTGGTGATGGTGTTAGGTGCCAGTGTCGCAAAACCATTTTCAAGGAAGGTTGGACCAGTGCAGCTAGGCCTACTAATTAGGGCACTATTTCAGCGATGTTCAACAGAAACGGAAATAATTGACTACACTTTCTTCAACAATAACTGGTGTCAGGGATATGGAGTCTCCTAGAGGAAAAAATGTTTCTAATTGGAAGTGGGGCTATGTCATTGTCCTCTGCAAGTCCATAATGATGTTCTTCGAGTCCGGCATCGCCAAGTCTTTCGGCGTGCTCATCTCCGAGATCGTCGGCCGTCTCGATGCCAGCTATGCCAGTGTCGGATTGGTTTGTAGCTTGCCTAGTACGATCATGATGTTATCGTGTAAGTTATTTTCAACGAAATGTTATAATAATAATTCCCACAGCAATTGCCAGGCACCCCTTTATATTATTGGGTGGAGAGTGGCAAATGTCGGTTAATATCTTGCCAAAATAAGAACTTTAGTGCCGAGATGGGATTCGAAATCTCAACTCTTGGATTGAAAGGCAAGTGGAAGATACGTTCATTGAGATTTGAGGACTAGCATGACCAGTGGCGTAATTAAGGGCAGGCCAAGTTATGCCCCCCCCCACGCCCAACGTTGCTGCTATTTATAATCATTATCATTTTCATGGTTTTTATGATATCGATTATACGCAATGAGTGTCCGTATTCAAATTTGAGAGGTGCCCTTTTTAAATTCTGTAATAAATGCTTTTTTCATCTCTGATAAATGGCCCTTCTATTTTGCACGTACCCCTTATCCTTCCAATTAGTGCCATTTTTCTTCTGATATTTGCCCTTTTTCCGGTCTCATAAGTGCCTCGTTCTTTTCTGATGAATGCCCCTTATTAAGTGCGTTAAATGCCCTATTTTCACCTCTGGTAATTCGCATTTTTACTTTGAATTGTGTTCTATTTCTTTTTTTAATAAGTATCCTTTTCCCTTTGGACATGCGCCCCGTTTTCCTTACACCATAAAATGTGCCCCTAATTTAAAACGGCTTAGAGCAACGTTTTTTAAATCTCACCCAAAGCTCGCTCGATACGCTCGCTCGCATTTAATAAGTTGGTATAACTATGTTTCTTGATAAAGATCTTTCCAGTCTTTCATGATTAGATTGTGCTTAAAACCCCGTCGGGATTGTTTTTTCCTCTTTATAAGATGTAATTTTTCGCACTGCGGCCTCATATATCTTAAATTTGTTGCTCGCTCGCTTCTCTCGCTCGGAAATAAATATTCAGACCATCACACCAAACTGCGAAGTGTTAAGCTTAAGCAGTATCTTGGACCACGTAAAGAGAGAATCAAACATTGAAATCAGCCCTGATGATGTAATCACAATGTAGGGGTTTATACCAATGTCTAAAAATGATTTATTGTCGCTTTGAGGTTTCCCTTCATAGGTGCTCCATTTCTTTTGAAATACGCCCCGCCGCTCCTTGTATAGGCCGTTTGCATAGCAAATCTTAGACATGGTAAATGCCCGTGAAAATGATCTGAGTACGAAATGTTAAAAACTCAGGCATGATTGGCGTTGATTGATATGGGTTTGTTGGTTTTACATTAAGGGATTGCTTGTGTCACGTATGTCAATTGTTAAATATTGTGTTTTATACCTACACCCCATGTTTTAGGTTTCAATGAACATCCAAGCCGATCGTGTGAGTTCATAATTATTATATATAGTGCCTAAACGTCTTCATTTATTGACAATACTTGTGTTTTAAACTATTGACCAATGACATTTAACGACATAAATTACTGTCGTTCTATACGCTTAAATCAAAGTTCGAGACATTTTTACTATGGGATGGCAGAATTATAATGCTTTTGTTTGTCTGTGAATGCATTTGATATGTCCTCTCCTTTAGTTCCTTCAGGACAGCAGGAACCTATGTTCTATTTTGTTTAATGTGTCTTTAACCTTTATCATGTTTTGTTCTTAAATATCTTCTTCGACCATTTTTTTGTATCTTTGACTTTCATTTTTTTTCAATTTCGGAAGCTGTTGTTCCATTGTCTTCCATCACAATGTTAAACTTTGTATACAGTAGGCTTGCGGGTGCACCATGTTAGAGAGAGAGAGAGCGAGAGAGAGAGAGAGAGGGAGAGGGGTGGGGAGGATTTGGGGAGTCCTGAAAAGGACTGTAGTGTAATCTTTCTTTTTGAGTGTGTGTGTAGGCCTGAAAAAGACTGTTGGTAGTCTGAGGAGACCTATAGCGCCGGTTCGAGAGGATAAAGTTTTCTATCCTTCGTCAGGAGTATATAGCCCTACAAAACAAATCTGCCATAGACTTAAGAATAAATGCGAGAGGAAGAGATGATACGGCACTTGCTTGCATTAGATTATAAACAGAAATTTATTTTTCACCTATACAATGTACTCATAACAAAATTAGCTAGGGAGAATTAATATAAGAGGCTACTGTGCTACCCTCAGATTCGTTCCTTTTTAAACCTCAATTGTTGAACTGTATAATAATTATTGCGCAAAATACAATAGAACGTATACAGTTAGTCCTGAAAAGGACAATAGGACGTATTGGAGTGTGACATCAGAAAGGTCGCTTCTCTGCACCGGTCAATTTCTGAATCCCTTCGGTGCACAGTTGTATTGTTAATGCACTTCAATTTTTTTTTTTTACTACATCTTGTGAGCCCCTGTAACTCCACGCCGCTTTGACCGGTCACCTTTATATATCAGGATCAAAAGCATGAAGCTTGTTATTGGAAGGAACAGAATACTGTGCTACCTCAGATTTGATCCTTGTTAAACGTTATTGTTGAATTGTATAATTGTGCAAAACACAATAGAACGTGTTTGGTGGAATATGTGACCTCGAAAAGGCCGCTTCCCCTCCACAAGATTGACAAGGTCTAATTTCTATAGATCCCTTCATTGCACAATTGTCTTGTTAATACCCACGTATTTTTTTTTACTACATCTTGTGAATCGCTGGGCCCTGTTGGTCGGTCATTTTTACAATAGGAGCAAAACTATTAATGAGGTGTTATATTAGGAAGAACGGGAATTAAGTTTAACAAGGCCCAGTGGCGTATGATGTATAGGTATCTTCGAGGGGGAGGGGCAGGGGGGCGTGCCCCAGGCGCCACCTGAAGGGGTGCAAAACACACAAAAGTGAGAATCACAGGAACCGAACATGAGAGAAAGAAAAGGCAAAGAAAAGGAGAGGGAAATATGATTGTAATAAAATGCAATGCGTCCCCAATATTATAATTAAATCGCATTAGAAATGAAATTTTTAGGGTGTCAAATGCGAAAGTTTGCTACAGCACGGTGACCGTCGCTTTGCTTTCGCCGTTCCTCGCATACAGGATCTAGTAATTGCACGTCCCAACATATTACGATATATATTATGAAAAAGGTGTTTTTAAAGGGTTCATCAATCCTTAGGGACTTTTAGATTTACACGACGAGAACGTAGACTGCCACGTGTGACATCCTTTTAAGGTAATGTGAGGTCCTTTTAAGGCGCTGCCGGGTACGGCCCAGTGCCTTAACACAATGTCAAACACAGCAGTCCACGCTCTCGTCGTGTAAATCTAAAAGTCCCTGTTGAGAAGCTATTAACGCCCTTGCTATTATGGACACAATATTCAAAGGGAATTCCACCCTGACGATTATCTCGGTTTTAATAAAAACAGAAAAATGAGAGAAACGAATTAATGAAAGTTTGAGCAATATCCTGTTAGACATAGGAAGTTAGGAATTTTTGAAGTTGCTCCTCTCCATAAATGCTCTGTACGTAGAACTTCATAAATTTTCACTTTCTTAGTTATTGATATGTTTATGTTTAGAGTGAATGTATGATTGAAAAGTTTCTCAAGGGAAAATATATTTTAAACTTCAGTACTGGGCAAATGGGAGGAATCCTCGCAAGATTAATCACAGAGTTTCAATTTTGTTTGATTGATCGCAACTTCAACAATTCATAACTTTCTTGTGTTAAAGCGATTTTTGCTCAAACTTTCACTGACCTATTTTTTTCTTCTGCATTTTCCGCTACTGTTAAAATTCATTTAATATCATGGTTGGCTTTCCCTTTTATACATAGTCATTTTTTTGCTTTTTTGCAGGTCCTGTTATCACCTTCATCCTACTGAGATATAATCATCGAGTGGTGGCCATGTTCGGCGGAATAATATGCGCCGTTGGTCTAGGAGCATGCGCATTCGCAACCAGTACCATAGTGTTTGGTCTATGTCTGGCGTTTTCGGGTAAGTTATCACACAAGAGGACTCGCGAAGTGGAGGGGAATCGAAGGGGCGGCTCCCTGTTTAAAAAAATAAAAAAATAAAAAGAGAGCGAAAAATCAATAATTTTACAGGCAGCATACAACGGGAGATTTTTAAAATGACAAGATATATACAAGAAAATAACATAAAGTACTACAACGAAGCATGTCTGCTGGAGGGGGTAGCATCCAAAACAGTTATACCTATTTGAAACTACAAAACTAGGTTTACTACAAAATAAAGAGGTTTATTAATATAAAATATAAATAGGAATATCATTCCATTGTTAAGAATACTGATCAATTTCTTTGACTTTGACTTAAAAGAACTTTAGGTTTGAGATGTTTTAATTTGCATCGAATTCCACCGCATAGGTCCATTGAAAAAAAAAAATCTCCGAAATTATGGGGTACGTATAGATGAAAAGGGAAAGTCGTTGGCATTCCTGGCCCCCGGTTGCATAAAACTTACAATTGATGGTAACTTCTGCCATCACTATTAACTACCATGGCAAAATCACTCAACAAGCAATCAAAACAAGGTTTCCATGGAAGTTACCACTAATGGTAAGTTTTATTCAACGCGGATCTGGTAAATTGTAAAAGGAATATATGACATTACTATGCAAAGTAAATAATTTAATAAAGACATCCCAGATTGAATAGTTAATAATACGTTTTTTTCTTTAAAGGACTTATTAAGTCCTTTGAAGAAAAAACGTATTATAGCATACGGACAGATTTTTCTTTGATAAAGAAAATCTGTCTATATGCTATTTTCGTAATGTAATCAAATTTAATGAAATAATCTTTGTTAAGTGCCTTATTACAAATTATTTCAATCACCCGTTACGAATAATTGTATTTCAATTGTCAGAATGCGAATCTTTTGTAAAATTAATCGTTGCTAGGTAGAACATTCATAATGGCTTTTACTACCTAACAACGCGTAATGTATGCAATTCACATTCTGACTATTGAAATAAAATTATTCATAACAGCTAAATGAAACAATTAGATATATGGATTAAATTTGATTGAATTAGAAAAGTGTCTTTTGACTGAATAGTGTTTCTATGACAGAGCGAACAATGGTCAAAAGACCAGGCATGTTCACTGATGTGGAACATTCCTCGTTAACGGAGGACTCCCACTGTCCTCTAAAAACGTCCATTTCCCTAAGTGGTATTGAGAAACACTGTTCAGCTTTAAAGAATTTCATTAAGTCTCATTTCAATACGTTGCTAATTACAGTTCATAATTGTCTATCTCTACCTTTACCACAGGTATTGGTCGGGCCTGCGTTTTTCACGCTAACACCCTGTTAATAAACGACTACTTCCCGGAGAAATTTGTCCTAATGAACTCACTATCATATTATGGAAGCATGGTCGGAATAATGGTTCTTCCCATCATCACAGACAGATCTTTAGAAGCCTACGGGTATACATGGACTTTCCTCATTCTTGGAGCAATCAAGCTACATGTCGTGGCATGCGCAGCGGCGCTTCGACGTCCATTCTCTAAAGACATAGTCATAACGAAGCGGAAAGACAGTTCTAATGATTCCATGACTCTCATAGAGGAAGGGATGAGTGACAGTGACGGTGATCAAAGAGTAGAAGCATTAGCGATTATCGAGGTAAAAGCGCGAGAGGGAAACACCGACATACGTGAACGGAGCCTCAAGGAAAAGACAGAGTGGAGTGGTCAGGAGGGGCATCCGACTAACCATGTTCAGAACAATAATGCCAGCCTGAAAGAATCGGATTGCATTAACAAAGATGCGATTGAACTTGTAGGAAAGAATGAGACTGATTCCGGCATTAACGCAGAAGAACGCAAGACGTTGTTCCTTGGGAATGATGGCATTGACATCCACAAACCCTATGATGCTTCAGATTCTGAGGATCGCAGTGGCACTTTTTGGTCATCTAGATCAGTCTGGGAATCAGGGAGTATTGAAAAAGTTGATGCGACTGAACTTGGAGGAGAGAATGGGAGCGATACAGGTAGTGACGCAGAGGAACGCAGAGCGTTGATCTTCAAGAATGGCGAAACTGGTAACATCCTTCAACCTTCTGCTGCTTCAGATGCAATTAGAAATGGAGATATCCGGGGCATTTTCGGCTCATTCGGATCAATCCTGGAACAATATTTCAAACCTATACTCCAAGAACACGTCTTTTTAGTCACTCTCCCCGTAGTCCTTCTTCACACCTATATTATCAATGCATGGGTTCTCTTTCTCGTGCCGCACGCCGAGCAAGTTGGCATCATCCAATCAAGGGCTGTCCTTCTAGCATCTATTGGTGGCATCGCTGGTCTCATTGGCCGAACCATGTCTGTGGTCTTACTGGCCAAACAGGCGGACATGATTCCCGTATACATCATAACCGGTGCGATCTGCAGCGTGACGTTTCTTCTAGATGGCTTCGGTAACGGTTTCGTCACCCGCGCTTGTCTGGTCTTTGTCCAAGGTTTCTGCTTGTTTACTCTAGATACCACCGCCTTCGGGTTTCTGAAAATCGCGGTGATGAAGGAAGATAACTTCAGTACGGCCTACGGAATTAATTGTGCAGTCTTTGCTGTCGGGCTCATCGCCAGTGGGTTTGTAACAGGTAAGTTAAGGGCGTCTCCATTATGTCCACCTGTATAGATCGAGTACCGAAGTGCGACGTCATACTGCGTGGCCAAGTGTCAAGGTTGCTGGTTCCAGACAGTGCTAAACAATAGGGAATTTTAGATTTGCACATCGAGATATTGGACTGCTACGTGTGATGTCTTTAAGGCACTGTGATGTCCTTGTCTAGGCGCTGCCAGTGCCTTAAAAGGACGTCACACGTAGCAGTCCAATATGTCGACGTGCAAATCTAAAAGTCCCGAATACCGGGGGGGGGGGGGGGGGGGGGGGGGGTTTAGTGAGCACATTTTTTTTTTTTTGGGGGGGGGCCCTCGAAAATTTGAAAAATCGCACCTCCCCTCCCCCCCCCCCTTGAGCGCCAGGGGGGAGGGTCCATCTCCCCCGAAATGGTTAAATTAATGTGTTTCTACACGTTTTTTCCCCAGGGGAGGACCCCCCCCCCTCCCCTGGATCCGCCACTGATCCCACCAGCCTCAAAAACTGAATTTGCCCAGCTCCAGAACTTTCTTGAATGAATTTGCGTTGAACCTCATGCGCAGGCTCTTCTGTTTAGAACCAGTAACATGGACGACGAGCGAATATATGACGTGTGCACTTCGGTACTCTATAAACACAGAACTAGTTTGGCCTCCTTTGTTGCAGATGAACCAGAGACCTAGAGTAACGGTATGCGTAGTTGGACACAACACGGTGTGTGATAAATTATTTTGTGTGTTTGTTTTGTCGATCTCCTTGTTTTATGCGCACTAGGTATAAATGAATCTTGTTGGAACACGTTCCAATGACCAATATTTATGTAAACTTTTATTATTTCACAAAGCTCTTCATAGATCAGAAAGTTCACACATTATTCAAACTATGCTATAATTGTGCGTGGCTTAACACAACACGGTGTGTGATAAATCATTATTTTGTTCGTTTGCTCGTTCTGTTTTCTTGTTTTTTTTGTTTTGTTCGATCACCCAACAAATTAGCAACATACGTCTTTTTGTACCTAATTAGAACCGGGTATAGGCCAAACTCGGTGTATCAATGAATCTGGGACCCGTTTCAAAAAACTTTATTTTTCAATGACGATTGACCAAAATCAGTGACAAATCAGAAGCAAGGATTTCAGTAGCTTATAACAAAAACCGTCATTGTCACTGATGACAAGTTTTGTGAAACGCCGTCCTGGTTCCAAAGAGGTCCAATGACCACAATTACATGTCTATATTAAATTATTTTGAGCAAGCACTCCATTGATCAGATACTTTACACATTATTCAAAAGTATAATTTTTCATCGTTTTATGTAATTGCAGTTTTACAGTACAGTTGAAACCATGCATGTTATCATCTTACAGCCCCGGACACAAAAATCACATATAAATGTAACATGTTGAAAGTGGATAAAAAATTAATGAAGTATTTATTTCTTTGTTCTTTTTATATTCACAGGAGCTCTGTTTGATGCCCTCCATTCATATACCAAGGTTTTCAACATCATTGGTGTCGTTCAGATTATATTCATCGCTAATGTTATTCTCATCAAAATCCTTTTAAAGAGAAGGTTCAGTTCTGGTGAAGCTGAACAATAGTTTGCAATAGTTTGCAATATTTTGTGTACAGCATATACCATAAAGAACATCCCAGTAAAAAGTATATATATTATAACCCACAAACTATGACAAAATCTTTCATATGCAGCCATTTTTTTAATGGAAAAACTTGCCGGAATATCTTACAAGTATAGAAACATATGAAAGTTCAGAAGTAGTTTGAAAACATATTCATTTAGCACTTTGTAATATCACAATTATGAACCCAGTTCACCGTCATGTTGCACTCCTTCTGTATTCTGTTATGTGAAGCGCATAGAGACATGCGATTATGCCTGCGTGTTATGCGATATTAAAAAACGTTGGTTATTATTATCATCAATATTTGGCATTGGCAAAGGAATAACTGTCGATTCAGTCTGGTGATGAAGTTACTACGCAAGGTAACGTTGCATGAGAGGTCGTGTACAGTATCTCTGCGACTACGTCCTTTGTTCAGTCCATATTGGCCACAAGACCCTGTCGCTCACAGTCGTAATTATCAAAGAAAAGGAATATTCTAGTGTTGTTGATGTTGTTTGTTCGTTTCCATTTATTTTCTATTATTACTATTATCATTATTATTGCAATTCTCTGAGGAAATGGAAAAGTTTTGATTTGTACCCTCTGGCATAGAGGGATGGAGTATTCAATTTAATTGTCTATTTCCTCTGAGACCAAACGTATATCTTTTCAGGCCAAATCGAAATGAACGAAAATTATCATTTTCCTTTTGAGGCATCCACAACCTAAATGAATTCTTAGCATAAAGTTATAAACCCTTTACAAATGACATTTCTTGTAACAAACCACACAGTTTACACAATCAAAAGCTCATTGGATTACTTTTAATGAGTTAGTATTGTATGTATCCCCTTTTGTCGTATGCGAACACGAAGAACAGTTTGAATTCATTTGTCTTATCACGACTATTGAGCTTGATTTGCAGTGTTACCTTGGCTCTTCGATTCCACTTCTTGAAATATGTTAAAATGTGTAATTATTTTGCTTTCTTTCTTAAATTATTTGATAGACGTATGCTCAAAATTATTTAATTTTCTCACTACTGCGCCAGGAGTGTCGATTTGGACAGACATGGCGCGTTACAAATGTTCACTATTATTATTATTATTATTATTAGTAGTAGTAGTAGTAGTAGTAGTATTAGTATTATTATGTGTCAGCTAATAAACAAAATATTATTTTCAAATTTCTTATCTAGTTTGTTCATAAGGATTTTCATCAATATCGTACAATATCAGTTATCACGGGCACAGGTTACGATACACATTTTCTTTGGAGAAAGTTAAAATTTGAATTTACTTTGATTTGTATTTTCTCTAAAAGACAGTAAGCTTTCATAATATGTATAGTATACATACATATATGTGTTTTTTGCGTGTGTGTGTGTGTGTGTGTGCGCGCGTGTGTGCGTGCGTGTGGGTGGGTGTAATAATAATAATAATAATAATAGCCTAATAGTCCACTCCAAATTTTATTAAACCGAAACGGAATTGATCGTGAGCCAGGCAGCCACTGAGCAGCGCCAGATCGACGTTGCTCTATCCCTTATTGTTGAACGCCAAACAAGGTAGCAACAACTCCCATCTTTTAACGTCTTTTGGTATGACGCAGCCGGGGTTCGAACCCACGACCTCCCGGTTGTGTATTATAAAGAATTTATATAAAGACGTTAGGTACGTCGAACATTTGTGACTCTATAAAAACTTGGATTTAAAGCATATGGAACTCATCTTCATTTTATACACACACACACACACACCCACACCCACTCACACACACGTATACACACACAATTATTTCATAATTCTTACGATTCTTCCAAAACACTGAAATCCCACTTTTGAAGATATTCTTTAAATAATATAATTTAATACATAAATTGATAAATATTTGAGGAACAGAACACATTTTTGTCTGATACATGCATGTACCAACCACACAGAGAACAATCGCAGTTAGAATTTAACAGATAATATTGCATACTTTTCTCTCGTGTATTTTCTTGCTACACCCCCTTTAAGGAATGCTCATAAGTCTGGATAGCTTTCAAGTCAATTCAATAAAGGTTTATTCGAACATGTTTCGCAGCATAAAGAATGAATTACATGTTTTTGCAAAGATGAAAATACTTTATGAATAACAAATGCAATTGTGAATATAACATATTGAATTAAATACCAAATGACATAAAATACTTTTATTGATAAAAGTGTAGGTAATAAAAGTCAGATCACAAGTCAAAACATGTCAGAGTATCACAACAAATGATGTCAGTGACCTCGCTGTGTGGTCTAATCCCTTCTGGTCCAGTAGTATTGACGGTCTTCAATAGGAAGGGCACCATTTGGGAATCTCTTAGATCTCAGTGCAAGTAAATTCTTGCTATTTTTTGACATTTCGTAAATTGAATTTGTTAGTTTTCTTTAGAGGTAACCACGATTCACACAACATACTTTTTTCAAATGAAACGGCAAAATGTTTCGTCAGTTTGCTCTACGAGTCAAAAGAAATGGCATTTCTAGTCTTGCTTTTACATTGTCAAATTGTAGTTTCATCCAAGAATTACTCTATACTTTCTATATCATTAATCTGTCTGATAGTCAAACTTGCATAAAAAAAGAGGTACACAGTACTCCAAAATCTTACATATCCAATATACACCATTAACAGATCACAAACAGGTAGGTTGTAAGTTTTTAATCTACGTATAGCATGAATAATTTTCTATTACTCTTCTTTATAATTTCAGTTACATGAGTTATTCTACAGTACTTAAGGTCACCAATAATCGTAACCGTTTTTACCAAGGGTGAAGGTGTATTATCACTATAATTACAAAGGTGGTTGTATAATAAAATAAATAATATAATAATAAAAACAGTGCTTATAAAGCATACCATCGAAGTCTTTTAAGCGCTATAACAAACAAAATAAAATGATAAACAATTACATATTAAACAAACAAAAATAATTCTCATTAACAACTTCACAATTGATGCATATAACAAAACAGAAAATTCCCAATAGGTTCCCGGTATAAACTTCTTCCACTGGTGTAAATATAAAGTCACGAACATCACAAAAAGACACATACATTAACAGAAAACGAGAGAGCAAATAAGAGTGGCCGCTGTGTAAGGAGCATTTCCTCATCATGTATAGGTTGTTTAGAAAATGAAAATGACATCGAGGAACATTTCAATACATTTAATTTCCTATTATTTGTCGCATGATTCGAGCAGTTCAAGTTGGCCTTGCAATTGGGATATTTGTAAACTTGTTCTACCCCGTGTTCTACATTCTATTATATACAGGCGCGTAGCCACGGGGGGCACGGGGGGCACGTGCCCCCTAAAATTTCCAGGATCGTTTGAAATTTTGTAGACCCCTTTTTTTGACCTCGATCGAATACATGTATGTGCCTCCCAAATATCAAACTCTGGCTACGTGCCTGAGTATATAGTGTCAAATCATCTACGTATCTAAAATATGATTTAGAAGAATATTTACAATCTTTACGACCATCGTTAATAAACAAAATAGGCCCAAGCCTATAGTGCCTCGAGGTACTATTATTTTTGTTTATTCGGAATTTCAGAAGAAAACAGTACATACGGCAGACTGATCATGATACAAAACAGGTGATGAGAATTTGACAAAGCAGACGGGGCTGCCTGGGACAAGAAAAGGTCAACTGAATTAACATGACCCTCAGGTCTTCTGTCCCACACCCCGTCAGCTCTATCCAAATATAAAAAATAAATTCAAAAGAAATAGTCAGCAAAACATAAGTTTATGAAAGTGTGTCAGATTGAAAAAGGGTAGGGCGATATATTAAGGTTGACATGAAATGTGAATGTTTAATTGAAATACAAAAATATATATGCATGTATGATTAAATGTGTGGAATCTCTGTGTCGTTTTCGGAAGATGATGTTGCGTTGTACTGACTCACATATAATATTATTCCATATAATACTTTTGTAAACAATGACTCTGATAATAATAATAATAATAATAATAATAATAATGATAATAATAATAATAATAATAATAATAAAATAATAATTCGTTATATGTCGCTTTTCAGGACCGCATGTCTAACTCGACAGAAACTCACGGATTATACGAACTGGTAAATCACGAGAGACAATAATTGCTGTTTGTAGCTTGAGTTTACATAAGCATTTATATTTTTCATAAGGTTGAACTATAGGACACTTGGAGAGTGATGGTAAGAACGCTGGTGACATATCCTTATTAAGCTTAGGTAAATCCGACGCAATTTCTTCTATCAAATAACTTTTACAAAATCTGTCGATGTTTTATGAAAGAGTGACACACTTTTTAAAGGTTGCAATATCCAGACTTGACAACCATTGAAATTTGTTCTGGCCAGAATCGTGAAACGTTCAATTTTCATATGATGATATTTGCAGTTATTTTCATGCGTCAATCAACTGATGTGCTTTTGAATCAGTTGTTGATGAATTGATTGATTGATTTATTGAATGAAGGTCTCACTCAGTATCAGGATTAATGCTTGAACCTCTATCATTTTATCAACCGCCTGCCTTTTGAAATAATTTTATCAAGAAAGATATTCTTCTTCACCCTAAATCGATGATTATCTTATGTCAACGCTGCATTCTTTCATCCCTCGTGTTGACATGCTGTTCGTGTACATGTTCATCTGGTTTCATTTCTAGGTTATTTTCAGCCAAGTTTGGTTCACGACGACAGCATGATGTTGAGATTTGTGCAAACATCCCTTGCGGACCAATGGTCCTACAAAGTGACATAAATAGGAACAGTCCGTATACCCAGCTGATAATCATGATTATTATAAGAAATGTCCCCAACTGAACATAACTGAGTACTGTTGCCGGCAACATGGATGCACCTGCAACCAAGGTGGTAAGTGCTGCGAGTGTAACAGCTGAGCCAATCGTCTGTAATGCATGCATTGCCCGAGATGTCCTGTCTGGTTCGGTTGCCTGGCGGTAAGCAACACCTAGATGAACTGTGAAATCCACTGATAGACCAACAGCTAGAGAGAGGACAGTGGATTCAAATATGTTGAGTTCCCATCCCAGTAGAACCACCGTGGCGATTACAACAAACACAGCACATGCAATGGCATATATCGCGTAAATGGTCACTAAAATGTTTCTGATGGTGATCAACAGAACACAAGCTGCGAAAACGAGCGACATGCCCACTGCGATTGGTGTTCCCGTAGCTAAACTCTGTTGCAGATCAAAGAACCACAGCTGCAGGCCAGACTCACTTATAAACCATCCTCGACGCAGACCCGAAGGTGCTTTAGCCATTCGATCTTCTATGAAACCATTTACATCAGACCAAAACTGACCAATGGGGTCGTACCTCAGAGAAAACTGAACATTTGTTTTGATTGTAAGAACCATTCCAACAACCTCATTATCTGAATTAAACCATAAACCAGGAATATAGCTTCCACAAGATTCCGAAGCCTGACACGCAATTCCGTAGAATATAGGCACACACTGATTGAAAAGAGAGGACGAATATGGAAATGTTGTTTGGCCACAACAGGGAGAAATATCTCCTATACACGTTTTCTCCATGAAACCTTTGAATAAATCAATGAAACAAAACTCGTTCGGCGCAGTCGCAGAATTGTCATGAAAGCTTGCATTTCTGAGATCTGTACAGAAATCATAAAGCCACGTTTGAGCTTCGGGTGATTTGACATCAAAGTTCTTGTCAATGACTGTAGTTCCTTCGGAATCTGGATCCCAATGGTTCCCATTATCTACAGGTTCTATTCCCCAAACAATAAATGCCGGCATTGTGTTTTCCGATTCACTCTCAAAGCTAAACGTATCTTTGTAGATCTGGTCATACTGCTCCAAAATATGACTTGTCCTAAGAAGCTGAAGTTCAGCTTGGGATGGGAGACGGAGTCGTGGTTCCACAAACACCACACATAACCCACCTATTCCAAGACCACTTAGAAGTAGAATCCACAGGTACCGTAACTTAACAATGATAATTGGCAAGACTTCTTCGAAGAACTTATTGCCAACTCTGCTCACATGGTCGTATATTCTTCCCAGGAAAAACCATAATCCACAGCGTTTACATGATCCTTCTTGCGCCTCTTCGTCGCATATGAAATATTTCTCATGTAACATGACTGCCGCCGGAATCCAAGTCACCGTGAGGACGAAATTTACTAAAATGGAACTACCAGCAAAGACAGAAAAGCATCGAACTGCTGTGATGCTGCTGATGCATCCTGCAAAGAGGGCGCTTGCCGTTGTGAAACTTGTAACAAACATGGTGGTCGCGGCGTGTTTCAGAGTCTCACGAAGTACTAATACTCGATTCTCGCGACCGCCACCGTGTTCTTTTTTGCTCAACTTCCAGATGTCGACGTAAACGAAGCAGTCGTCGGCCCCTACACCGACAAGTAGCACAGATGTTATTATATTGATAAAAGGAAAGAAAACCAATCGAAAGACAGTATGATAGATAAAGTAAGCTATAACGAACGAAAAAATAATGCTAACCATAGTCATAATTGTGACAAATAATGAACCCACATACATCCAAATGATGGCCACGACAACTAGGAATCCGATACCGATATAGATGGTGTCTGCAAAAAGGTAAGTAGCGAATAAATTTAATTTTATTCCTCCATCAATGGCGGCAACTTGTACTGCATCATCGGTTAGTCGAGGTTTATCGGCATATATTTCATACAGAGTTTGTGCCCCATAAAACGGCCCCTTCATCAGAGGTTGAAGCACAATGACGGTTTGAAGATCAAAGGCACCTTTTGCTACTTGCAGTGCAAAGTTCGTCGGGGTGAGATAGTGGAATATGGTGTATACCCGTGCGTCAGCTGAACAGTTTGCAGGAACATCACTGCAAGTAGAGCCACCATCACCACCAAGGCATCCTCTTGAGTAGTATCCAACGCATTCCTCTAGCAGCTCTTTCATTCCTAGTACATCACTGTCATCAACGTCATCGCAATCTACTTTGCCAACCATCAATGCTGTCACGTGTCCTAACGATATTGAAGGGCAACAACTGCCATTTGTACGATACAAACAGATCTGATCAAAACCGACGTCACTGCGAAAATTTTCTTTGTCATGTTGACACACAGATTTCATGCTAGTAGAAGTGAACATCTCCAGTGAGTCATCAGTAGATCGGTAGACCATTTTGACCCTAGATGAAACTACGGACGAAAAGAAAAAAGAATTACAAAGATGTGATATATTCAGTGTTATTCTGTTAACACGTTCTCTTTATAAAATAATGCATCGCTGCTTCATTATTGTAAGAACAGTACAAATTCATCCTCCGGTTTCCTTTTTACATTATTCATACATGATTTTGCATTGAGTATATGACTAAAAAAATGAAAAGACTAAACATACATTTCCTAAGTAACATAATTGTACCAATTATAAATGCGAGCGAGCTTTTGGGGGGAAATATTGCTCTAAGTCGCTCTATGGGGCGCATGTTATGGAGAAAGGAAAAGGAGCACTTATCAGAAGGAGGAGGGGCAAAAATTACACGGGAAAAGGGGCACTTGGCAAAGTAAAACGGGCACCTCTCAGATTCCAATAGGGGCAATTAATAGAAGTGAAAAGGGGCACTTCTCGTACCTGAAAAGGGGCACTCACCAGAGATGAATAAGGGCACCTGTGAGAATGGAAATGGTAACCTATGGCAAGGGAAAGGGTCACCTAGTAAATTGTGTTAGGGGCATTTATCAGATATGAAAAGAGCACTTATTAGAAAGGAAAAGGGGCACGTGTCAAATCAAAATGATATCTGTATGACAAAACAGATCATATTAGAATGGTTGTCAAATGAAATAACAACAAAAACATGCTTTTTATTAAATACAGACATTTCAGAGTTTGCACGGCTATCTAGAAGTGTCAAAACAAAGTCTTTACTTGCAGACTATGCTTCTAGTCTTCTTCCTCTTTCCGTCACAATAGTGATGCTCATGGCGCAGTGGAAATTATATTTTCTTGTTCCCTACTTTTATTCTTTCTTTTAAAAAAATTTAAAAAACCTATTTCATAATCTTGATACACTTCATGCTCTCTCTTTAATTTTGTTTTGGTTTCATTCCAAATGTTTTAACAGAGCTATAGAATTTCCCATTCCTAAAACAGATTATCATGAACTTTTTAGTTCATAATAATATTTTGTTCTAAAGCCCCACTGTACTACTTATAGCTACTTGCGCCTAATCGGTGCATGTCGGTCCCCATTATCCCCTTTTTCTTATGTTAATTGAGAGCTGATTTGATGAGATAACCACCTGTCAGTGACCTTGCACTTTGCATGGAGATCTAATCCCCCTGGCCAAACTAGTGCAGATGGGCTTTAATGGGAAATTCCCCTTGGCCAGGCAATTTTTTATTCCTTGCTCATATAATTTAATTGTTGTTTCTTTTGTTTATGGTTAGGGTTATAGTTAGGGTTAAATTAAATCGCAAATCCAGAAGCCACATTATCTTCTTTCTTTTTTTTTTTGGGGGGGGTAAATCCTTTTTTGTTGTTTTGTAAATATAACCAGTTCTTTGTATCAACCCAAATATTGGCAATATTTTGTAACATTTTACTACATAGTACATAGCGTGAATGCTTAGATACACTTTACAACGTTATCGTGTCATGTTTTCTCTTTGGCCATATTAGGTATCTGAATAACGATGTATAACAAATAGATTTGTGATTTCATAACTGTTTAAGATTCATGAAGATGCCTTACAACATTCGGATGCATTATCTTCATGAATAAGTTATACTTATTCTCCCTTTTCTACATAATATTATGATTAGCAGTTATAACTCTATCCAGTTACTGTTTTGAGGTTTTTGAATTATTATATGGATTTAAAGACCCTGTCGGAAGCTGACAAATTAAATAGATGAATTACATATCAACGGAAAGCTTATGAGCCATAGACCCCCCCCCCTCATAAACACACACAACACACATAATCACAAACACACAGACACACGTATTGAATGAGAAAACAGACCTATATCATAAAAAAAAAACCTTTATCTCAGTCACTGTCAAACGTTAATGTCATGTCATAATCATACTGGCTAAAACCTGTTCTATTTTTTTAATTCTTGGACGGAGTCACGTCGGATAAAAATGCAGAAATGTTTTCCTTATCGTACCATAACCAGACATGGTAAAAATCTCTTTTACAAGTTCAGCTTTTTATCGCTCAAAATAATGTTCGTAGGCCAAATAAAAAACAAAACATGTTTAGCCTCCTGCTTTTTTGAAAAATAGGAAGGAGGAGGAGGCCCTTTTTTTTTCTTCTTTTTTTTCCCTTCAAAATGGCCGCTCAAAATGGCCGCTCGATACATTTTCCCTGACAGTCAGGCTATTTTTCAAGATGCCCGCCGACATTTTGTTAAATATTTTTAAAATCAGAAATAGATCCATTTTAGCAGTGTTTTTCATGTGTTTTTTTCTTCAAAAAAAAATTTTCAAAAAAAATTTCAAAAAAAAATAGGAGGCGGCCCCCAAAAAGGAAGCGTGCGGGGACGATTAACATGTATATTTTATTCAATGGCCTTATTTCTTATGTTATCTATGCCTTTGGTTAAGCATAATTATAGAATGTAAAAAACCATCTGGTGTTTAATTCATCCCTCTTTACATTTTATTCCGTTTATAACAACATTTGTTTTTCTCGAATTGATAGTTCAATAGTTCAATAGTTTGGTTGGCTAGTTGTAAAGGTGTAAAGAGAAAAGCCATGACGTCTCTTTTACTTCGTGAATTCTATTTTAGTCGCAAACTGAATAACAAAGAGGGATACTGGAGTGTATAGTGACGTACACAGTCACGCATATCGTACGCCATTTCGTATTTGAAGCGATGCCAAAAACAGGCGCCACATAATCAAAAGAGGAATCCAAAAATAACTTGACTCTATATGAATGCCAGGCAGAATAATGTATGGTATCTACTTGCGGGATCTGAACAACAGTGCTGCTTTAATGGCACCGTGTGGGTTATCATGACAAAATTGTGCGTGAAACCACATCCAGTCATGCACAAAACTCAATTGATCGGGCCAAACTTGAAAGGTGTCCAGCACTCCTTCCAAACAATGTACATATTTTCCTTTCATGATGGAATCATAGATAATAAAGCGCAATAACCCTTGTACTGACAAAATACGTATTGTAAGCGGGAAATTATCAAGTCCAGAACGCTGTAAGCTGCTATCATTGGTACAGTATTTGACAATGGGAAAAGATTTGTGTCACTTTGAACAGGTCAACATTCAAAAGTACTTGCAAAAAAGCATTATCTACTGCAATATTTAGCAGTGTTGAGCACAACGCTTTCCCAGATGAATGTATGTAGCCATATAGTGACCATTAAAATCGAAGAAGATGACTAATGCAAAAGTTTTGGATTTGGTTAAAAGTGTTTATCAATTTGCAAACTTGTCCGTATGCACTAAAACTTTTCATCGAGACAATATCGTGAAAACTTCTATGTCATCTCATATGAAATTAAGGTAACCGAATTGAATTTTGCTGCTCCATGGCTGCAAGAAGACTGGGTGCAGAAATTATATTAATAAAACACATACGGTATTCAGTCAAGGAAGGAACATCTTTCCCTTTCTTCCACTGTAATCTATTTAATCGAGTCTGCCAAACGTAGTAACAAACGAAAATGACTGAGAGGAAAGGATTCAAAATGAATAGGTATACTAGTCACACATTTTACAGGAAAGAAAACAATATTAGAGTTTAGTGTTGAAATGCCTAAACGTCATAATTTGCGACGGGGAGAGTTCTTGCGTGCTTTTATCACCTCTGCGTGTCGTGTGGATGTGGTTGTGTCTGTGAAAGTGGATAGCATGTGTTTTTTCTATTTTTGTTTCAAACGTGTGCTTTCTAAAGCCCTCACAAAATTGAGCATCCATCAATCCGAGCATGTTTGTATATAGATAGTTATCATTGTATTAATATGCATCAATCACCTGACCCGGAACGACTTTCTCGTCGGGGGTGCTGATGAGCAGGGGCGACGATTTCTTTTCATGACCGGGGGGGGGGGGGGACAATTCACTCTTCTGCTTTTGTATGTGTATTTGTATTGTATCTAAGTTGAGGGCTGCGGGCACGTCAAGCTACTTTGTATATTTCTGTAGCCCTCCTGCATCTAATGTATGTTTATTATGCATTTAATATATTTGTTTAATTTCGTATATTATCTGTATAAAATTATATACAATTGAAATATTGTATCAAACCATATTATGTTCATGGAAATGTATGATAAAAAAGAAGTAAAAAAAGATGCAGAAACCAATAAATCAAATCAAATCAATATTTCTATGACTCTTAATATGGTAAACATACAGTGTAAACTGTGCTTACGCAATACTAACGAAATACAGATTTTCTACAATATTTACTCGTACATTTTTAAGGATATTATGCGAGGGAGCGTTGCGACCGAGCGAGGAGATTTTTGCATTTCTATTAGTCTAATTAAACGCTGCACTGTTGGGCCTTCCAGAACCTAAAGGTGTGCTGCTAAACATTTGGTTTTTGGTTTTGTTTGTTTGTTTTGTTGTTGTTGTTGTGTTTTTTTTTTTGGTGGGGGCTTATTTGAAACCTTCTTGGGATGTAGATAAATACTTTGATAGAAAACTAAATCGTACTTGAAGAGAAAAGGGAAAGAAAGAGGAAAGACGGATTGAGGACGGTAAACAAATTAACAAGAGACTCCCAAAGTTTTACCCCCACAATCCTCTCACCGGCACCAGAGTTGTCTAGAGGCAAGCTTTTGGTCAAATTAAATAGCAAAGATTTTATTCTTACGATCATTGGTGCAATCTCCCAGCAGTACATCATCCCCGACATCATCATCTAGAGTTTGGTTTTGGATGTCTCTGGTTACACGATGAGGAGAACACAGGTCAGCGTTTGACTGGTCAGATGTTGATGGGCATGAGTAGACCCCATCAGCACCGAACTGCATCCTCCTCAAGGCTCTCAATCGCCCACTGATGACAGTTCCTCGGGCTTCGAATCCCTGTCAAAATGAAATACAATAATAATAATAATATGGATATCTATATAGCGCCGGTATCCGCCAGGCTCTGACGCTCATGGCGCTGTACATACATGTATTACTATCACAAAAATATAACTTTCTTAACTAAAATAAAGTAAAATAAAACAACACAAATTATTACGCTACATTGACATGATTAAATAGCACTGTTTAGAAAGAGATGGGTTTTTAGAGCAACTTTGAAATCGTAGGAAAGACAATCGTCTCGTACCCTCCCTTATATCCCTTATAAACAAGTACCATCAGGTAGCCATGGTACTCAGTGTCCAAATTACCGTCCACCATTCGAACCATGCCCATGGTAATGGTTTGATACCATGGTTACCATGGTTTAAATGGTTGATGGTAATTTGGACAAATTAAAGAACCATGGTTCCATGGTTACCATGGTTCGAATGGTGGATGGTAATTTGGACAAAGAACCACGGTACCATGGTCCGAATGGTAGAAGGTAATTTGGACAAAGAACCATTGTTACTATGGTACATTTTTATAAAAGATATCATTAACACAATATGTTTCCTGGTTACACTTAATCATTATTCTAATGATGAATACAACAATTTCCATTCATTTATACATGGAAATGATAACAAAACATTACTCTGGAGTTTTGAAGCTTGGGTCCAGTTATGGGGCCCTATTTATATTTCTGACAATACCTGGAAACCTCGACGAAAAAATCATTGAACCATAATGTCTCTAATTTATTGTGAAAAGTAGAAGTCATACTATGTATTTTAAAGATGAATTGGAATAGTTTTTGTTATTTTCATTTTCTCTTGTTTACTGCATGAGTAGTTTATGTTACAGGAATACCATGTAAAACAACCTTGAGTTGAATTTTTAAAATAAATCTTGTCAAAACTAATGTTTTTAAAATGATACAAAAAACGAATAGATAAATGACTAAATAGACAGTATCCACATACAGTCAACATTAAACTTTACAAAAAATAACCAATCGGTCTACTGTTCAGGCAATTTTATAATATTGTTTTCTATTAGTTCTCTTTCGAGGGACTTTATATGTTCATATCATAAAATAACAGCTATTTACAACAAGGTTTATATACATCATTCATGCAATTGAAACATATCATATGGTACAAAACATGAAACTTATGTGACATAATCACTAAATAAATAATGAAAATATTGTTTTTATTTAATGTTTATGACCGAAGCTAATATATTATTCATATACATTAAAAAAAATGATTTGTTTCTTTCAATGTTCATTCAAATGCAATCCAACAAAATATATGGGGAGTGTTTCACAAAGATCTAAGTTGAACTTATCTCTAAGTTGGACTTAACATATTATTATGGAAAGCCGTTAGCATCTATGAAAATATTTTGTAAAAGTTATTTTAAAAAGCATAAAATGTGGATTCAAACCTGTCCATTCATATTTTCTATTATCAAGGAGATGTCATGTTCTAATTGATGCGGAATTTATAAAAAGTCTAAAATACTTGAACTTTTACTTAGGAATATATTTTATTTAAGGCTACAAATGGCTCTCCATAACTTTAAAATCCAACTAAGAGTTTAAAGCCCATCTGTACTAGTTTAGCTAGGAGGGATTAGACCACCCAGGAAGGTCACTGACAAGTGGCTGTCTCATAAACTCAGCTCTTAATTAACATATGAAAAAGAGGATCATGGGGGACCAATGGTCACCGATTAGGCATTGTTTTCTATATAGAGGGAGCACGAAGCTACAAGTAGTATAGTGGACTTTTAAGTTTAACTTAGGATCTTTGTGAAACATCCCCCAGGAAGTATCATCTTACCTTTGTTGGGTCATCGAAGGTAGGGAATTCATTGAGAAGGATACCAAGACCTGTCGAGATGACGACCACCAGACAAACGAGTAACAGGACCACGGACGGATACTCGACTATGAACTGAGAATACCTGAAAGTGTTAAGGGCATCATTTAACAATGTTAAATCTAAAGGAGATGCATGAAAAAAGGTGGTATAAGAAACAAGAAGTGTACACAACAACAACAACAAATCGAAAGACGAGACTAGATAAGACGGGAGAAAAGAGAGAAAATAATGAGAAATAATAAAAGACTCAGCATATCGACAATAGGCACAGCACACAACGGGCACAAGACAACAGGGGGAGGGAATAAAAGGCTGACAATCTGAAAAATATTCAGTTAGACACATATTAATATCAAGAATAAATTTTACATTTAGCCTGGTATTTGTAATCAGCTAATCATGTACCATAATTAACGTTGGACCTCCCTTCTCTGCTTGATGTACGTCTGTTCCTATGGTTGCATATTATACAAATAATAAATGGTTATGAGTTCAATAGTGCGAATATTTTCATGAGTTGAAAGATTAACATTCTGTTCAACGAGGCGTCAATAACTCTAAAAGTAACACCAGTTTCTCAGTACTGTATATTCTCCTATCCAAACGTTTTTTTTTTCTCTTTGTATCCAAACTTTATCCAGGCATCAACACACCAGCTCAGACAGTGCAGTTGTAAGCAAAGAGGTTACAAAGCATTCTAACTTTTCGTTTAAAAATATATAACAAATCCACAAACCTCTCTCTGATGTTTCGTAAAATTTTCATGATAAAACCAGGGATGGGTCTCTCTTCAGTAAAAGTGACGTCCGCAGGACCTTCGAAAAAAGATGAAAAAGATTTTACACATTTCCTCTTCTACAAAATCAATCACAACAGGGTATCATAATGTAAATCTTATTTTTATAGTTTTTATGGTATACTAGCAAATTATTATCTATATAAGGCCTCCCGAAGTGGTACAATAAATCAGTGTATTCAATATATTTAGCGCAGTAACCGGATGACTGACCAATATTGTTTTCGTATTGCCTAGTCATCTGGGAACTTCGTTTGTTCTTTTTAAATCGTTATCTCTCTCTCCCTGGGGGAGTTTTTCTCTTTTCAAAAGTAGTACTGTATTTATTTTTGTATTTGACAGATTATGATATTTCATGTCCAAGCATGTATTTATTTTGTTTACTTCAACAGAAAAAGCGTTCTTGAAAGAAGGAAAAAAAAGAAAATGAAATGACTAAGTATTTTTCTTTATTATTATTACTATTATTATTTCAAACGAAAAAGGAAAGGTATGAAAAAGTTGTTTTGATTAGCAATTGATGTTAATCAAGAGTTATGCTTTTGTATTGTATTTTGATTATTCTGAATGTGATGTAAAGTCAGTATGATTTAAATTGCATGATTTTGATTATACATGTACTAGCTCTGGTATTGAGCAAATATTACACACCTTATCAATATTTTTTAAAGCCATATTTACCGAGGTAAGTCAAATTTTGTTATTTCGCCAGTCAGTCTGATATAGATAATAATGTTTTACAAATTTTGAAAAAAATGACAAAGTTGGGGATAGTATTAATAATAAAGGAATTGAGTGAATTTTAAACCACTGATGTCATTTTACTAATAATAGTATGAATAATCAAGAGAATCTTTGCTAAAAGATTATTTAAACCCCAACACCCACCCCATATGAAAGCTAGACCAAAACTTGCTATACTTATGGAGACACTAGCCAATATCGCATATTTTGTTTACGTTAGATAATGACAAAAACTTTCATTTAAAGTCTTTCGAAATTTTGTTAGGAAATTCATATGATTTCATATGCAACATACAGGCCTTCTTTTTTTATACAGAAAGAAAATGTTACTTTTAATTGTAATACTCAGATTTCGAACTACTGCACCCGTAAAGAGGGGCTAGTTTTTTCGTCATCTTAGAAGGAAAAAAAAAAAAAAAAAAGTTTCATCTGGTTTAGACATATTTTGACTATATAACATTACATAAAATATTGATAGCTTACTAAACGCATATTCCAATATTACTTTTTCATATTTTTAAATTGAAACGTTCGATATAGGGTTTCAAAGCCCATACGTATTATGTATCATCAACAGGGGCGGATCCACGTAGCGATTATTCCGGCCCGGGCCCCCTCCCCCCTAGCACCCCAAAACGATAAAAAAAAATAGGATAATAACGTAAAGTTAACCTTTATTTTTTTTAAAAAGCGCCCCCCTACCCCCCCCCCCCCCCCCCCGCTTATCGCCGGCCGGCTGAGTCGGCACTAAATTTTGTATTAAGATTTGGCTACCCCCCCCCCCCCCCTTGACGCCGTCTGGATCTTCTGCAGGCGCGGATCCACGGGGGGGGGGGGGGGGCTGACGGGTCAACAACAAAAAAGAATTCTCAAAAAAAATTCTCACGAATTAGGTGAAAAAAACAAAAATATTGGTCTCACCCCCCCCCCCCCCCCGCTTATTCACCGGCTGACTGAGTCGGCGCATAATATTTCCTGAAAAATTGGACAAAAAAAAAGTGCTTCCTACCCCCCCCCCCCCCCGCTTATTCACCGGTGGCCGAGTCGCAACTGATATTTTCTCACGGATTGCCCCCCCCCCCCTCTTCCGCCGGCTGGATCCGCCACTGATCATCAATGCGTAGACTTAATAAAGACACAAAGCAGACCGTTCAAATCATTTCGCAAACGTAAGTCCCACATAAAGAGAGTTCCTTTAAAATCACATTTTATCCATATATGTAATATGTTTATACAGCCATTTTCACTATTGACACAATATTTTTCGATATTAATTTTCCCGTGCCTTTTAAAGTTTTTTTTTTAATAAACCGCTTCATGTAGGGAATCCAAAATAATAGATGCAATGATGAATAATACAATTTCGTATATGATGAAATATTTACCGTAATAGCGCTTCCACACAAAATATCTGTTTTATCCTTCATATGTTTTCACAAAATAATGCGTTTCTGCCGGTATCGAGGAATAACGTTCATCTCTTAAGTCAAATTAAACGGAAAATCATTCGCAAGCCATCACGTACCTTGTCTGCGTGTAACCATATACTAGTAGGTCCATGGTGTAACATGTATAATTTTGAACTTGCACTTGCAGTCTTGCACGCCTGTGCGTGCGATATAGCACAGGCGTGCGAGTTCATAATACACCATGGACATAATTATACACGCAGAGAGAATGCAGACCGTATGCACATTTAGAATGATGAATACCTTAATGACGTGTGCGTCACTCATTTGAAGTCATCGTAATGTAGCGTCCTTAAAACGGTTTTGCCTCATTTTGGTACCAAATGAAAGGAAATAACTATATAACTTTCACTTCTTCATATCCTTTTGATGATATTTCAACAAAATTTGGGTACAAAACGAAGAATTCTGTTCATCGTTCCAAAAATAAAAAATATAGTGGTGGAAATAAGTGGTGTAAATCGCCGAGTGAAAACCATTTTGCATTTATTTCTCAGTTTGTTCAAAACAATACTTGATGTGTTTATTCCCAAAATATAATCATATTTCATATGCTATTTTGGAATACCGCTCGGGATCCAGCAAATGTAAGTCCACTCCAAAAAAAAATTACTTTCAATAGAAGCAGAAAAATCAGACAAACTAATAAAAAAAAAAGTTTGAGCTAAATCAGATAATTAACTAATAAGAAAGTTATGAATTTTTAATAACATGAACAACTTTGAAATTCACAAGACAAATTGGCAACTCACTCATGAGTCTGTGACGCCATTGCCTCACTATCCACAACTTTTTTCTTTCTATTGATAATATAAATTCCCACTTCTCCCCGATTTTTTTTTATTTCCTCACATCAGCATCCAAGTTATATCGATAAAAATAAGTAATGGGGTTTAATGCATTAATATAGAGTAATTGTTTTTTTTCAGTTGAATCATGACAAATTTTAATTTTCAAAAACAATCTAAATAAAAAAAGTCAATGATTATGAATATACCATATTCAGAAAATAGTATCAATTCTTCAAAGTTTATAAAAGATTTTGTCAATATTATTGTTATGCACGCAATGATATAAATCATGAGTCCTGGGCAAAGGCATTGGGAAAATCAAGTTTTGGGGGATAAAAAGGCCGGAAATTAACCGGGAAAATAACATTTAAAGATTTTTGAGGTCCCAGCGCGAAAAATTACATCTTAAAAAGAAGACAAGTAACAAAACCTATTGAGTATTATAAAAGCACAATTTAATTAAGAAAGACTGAAAATTCAACATATTTATATCATCTATAAATGCGAGTGAGCTCTAGGGAAAATTAAAGAAAAAGGGGCTCTAGCTAAGTCTCCTGAATTAGGGGTGCAGGTTATGGGGAAAAGAACAGTAGGCACTTATCATAAGGGAAAAGGACGTTATTAGAAAAGAAAAGGTGCTCGTGTCAAAGTAAAAAGGGCAATTATCAGAGGTGAAATGGCACTTCTAGTTCTTGCACCTAAAAAGGGACACTCAACAAAAAATGAAAAAGGCACTTGTGAGAATGGAAATGGGGAATCTGTTGAAATTAAAGGGCGCCTATCAGATTTTAATAGGGGCATTTATGAGATGTTAAAAGGGGCATTTTGAAAAAAAGGAAGAAGCTCTTTAAAAAGGGACACGTGTCAAACTAAATAGGGCGCTAATCAGAGGTGAAAAGTGGCATTTAGGAGAAAGGCACGAGTCAATATATAAGTAAAACAAAATATCCAACCACATTCACAATATAAACGTATTTTCCAGTTCTTGCGGTATTTGCGCGCTACTCTTGGTCGGCCCTCTACGTTTTAAAGTAGAGAAGGCTCAAGTTAAACTTTTCTGAACTTATCGACTAATTACAGTGTAGATCATTTATTACGAAGATCATTCATCTTTAATATTATTTTTAACAACAATTCTTGCCTTTAGTTTTCTTTATTAAGGTTTTATAATCACATTACCGTCTAAAAATACAAAATATATCAATTTTATTATTTTACTTTTAATAAACTTGATCAATAGTATTCCTCAATTGGTTCATAAATGACAGGAGGTTCATTTTGCTGGCTTGTTTCAGCACAAGTGACTCAGGATAGGCTTAATCGCGGATTGGTATCTGGAGTCCTTCCATTTTTAGCTAAAATGACATGAAAATGCATGAAGATGATGAAAGTAATTGATGAAGTTGGTGGCTCGGATGAAGGTGAATTAGAGGATGGTGAAATAGAAGAAGAAGAAGGACAAATAACATCTAATAATCCGGATGAACTGAGCGTCAGTGAAGTCGATTTTGTTCCGTCTACCGTAACGCAAACGGCAAAGTCAAAGTCAAACGACAGCAAAAATGCACCTGACGATACCAACAGAGGAAAAGACAAGCATTCCCCGAAATTACCAGCAAGTCATAGAAGGAAGTCTCTACCTGAACGTTATAAGATCAAGGAAACTCGGACCACGAAGCGTACTAAATCAACGAGTCCGAAAAGGGATGAACGAGAGCGAAAACAGAGCGAATCTTTAACTAGTTCCAGCGGGAAGACTCGGGCGCAGAGACGAGCGAGTGAGGCCTTGAAGCGCGCCAGCAGAAGACGAGATCGCGACCGTGAATCTCCGGGGAGGAGAACCAGCCGAAGTAAGTAGGATAATATAAACAAGATACTTATAGATGGAAATTTGAGATAAATGAAATAAATATTCAACATAACCATGAATGAGAATGAATGAACAATATTAGAGTCTACAAAGGAATCTGAAAATGATTAATTTATTGTGATGAGACTGAGAGTGTTTGAAATCCAACGATTCCAAGATATTTCTTGAGCTGGGCCTGGGGAGTGGTGGTGTTGTCGGTAGAAAGGGTCTAGTAAGTATAATGAAAAAGAAGAAGAAGGAGGGACTAGACTAGACTGATATTCATAAATATAATGTTATAATTATTTACGAACGTGCTTAAGAAGTTAATAAAATAAAGACAGGCGGTAGTTCTTGATCTGTTTTAATAATTTTTTTGTTGTATTTTCCTATATATCACTAGAGTCGTCAAGAGGAAGATCTAGGTCACCTGTGATCAGACACCAAAGGTCATACAGGTCATTGACCCATGAACCTGAGGTAGCCGAATATGAACGGCTTCTTCGAGATCATCGCAGCATCCAGAACCGGATCAAGGAGGAAAAGAGGCGGCTCTCTGGAGGTTCCCATAGCAACAAGTCTACACATGGATCCGACAGAGGGCAGGGCTCGCAATCGAAGAGTCGTGGAAGATCAAAAGAAAAGTCGGCAGAAAAAGTGACAAAAAAAGTATGTAACTTTCTCAAATTTGTTGATGATTGCTAGGAATTGCTAGAAATCCTAGATTTGACCAACTTGTCTAAGTCAGTTTCCATTTAGGCTATCAAAAGTGGGGAAATGTATTGGATATCTTGGATTAATTAGAGAAAAATACAGTAGAATAGCAGGAGCTACTAAGCACACTTCAGTCAACTTCAGTATAATTCATATTCCATACCTAATCAATGTGCTGTGCTCTATTTATCCAGTGACTACCGGTACTAAAAACTGTTGTTCCCCTTGTATGTAAATGTCCTTAGATCCAGTAGGGAATAAACTTAGTTTCTTGCTTGAAATGTTCACTCAGGGTCAGGGTTCAAGAATATTCCTTAAGAGTTTAGATAGACGATGAACTGAAGTAAATAACAATTACTTTGGTATAGAGCAAGTTTGCACAGGCTGTATGTAACCCAAATCCCATAGAAAAGTATTTCAGAGTGAATTGTCAAGCTTGTGTCAATTCATGAATATTTATGTCTTGATCAGCGCACGTGCATACTCTCCCCAACATTTTTGATTGACATACTAAAAAAAAAAAAAAAAATTGGTTTTGACCCATTTGTGGCACATTAAAATTGTTCAAGATGAGAGAAGAAATACAGACTTTAAAAGAAAAACTGTGTGTCAAAATTACAGAGAAGAGAATACTATGGGATCTCATGAAAATGGAAATAAAGAAGTTTACAATAAAACTATCAAGAAAAAGGGTGGAGGAAAGGAAAGAAAAAATCAGAAATTGGAAAAAGAGATTGAATACTTGGAAGAGGTTTAGTCGATTGGCAATGAACATCATGAAGATATTTATGAAAATTTGAAAAATCGTTTCAGAAACGTGATGAGGATAATGAAGACGAGGAGATGATGCTCCTTCAACTGAGGAAAAATGCCTTGGCCTCGCTGGCAAAAGAAGAGAAAGGAAAGGAGAAGACCGACATGGGAGCAGAAGTGAATGACGAGAAACTGAAGGACAAGGATGAAGAAGGGAAGATGAGTGAAAAGAGAGGAGAGATTCAGATTGAAGGTGAGTAGGATGTCTAATGAAGCAAAGAAATAATGTAAACACAGAAATATGCACGGTACATTGATTTTCTCGGATTTCGCGCTAAGATTGGCAAGCGCAAATTTTAGAACTCGCGAAAATATAAGCATGACTTCTTATGCATTTTTTGAACGGGCTGGATTGCGTGCAAAACGATTTAAGGAACCTGCGAATATATGCAAAAACAACAGTGTTTATAAACCTAGAAATCAAGAACATCAAGAACATGAAATCTCCAGTGATAATAGAAAATATGAATGATTTGAATCCATATTTTATGCCTTTTAATATAACTTTTACAAAATATTTTCAAGGATGCTAATGGCTTTCAATAATTGTTAAGTCCAACTTGGTAATAAGTTCAACTTAGGATCTTTGTGAAACACCCCCGAGGAGGGATTAGACATAATAGACTTCCCTGCATGGTGACTGACAGGTGGTTATCTCATCAAATAAGCTCTCAATTAACATAAGAAAAAGAGGATCATGGGGGACCAATGGTCACTGCTTAGGCATTGTTTGCCTTATAGAGGGCGCAAGTAGCTATAAGTGGTGCAGTGGGGCCTCATAATGTTTCCATGCATGGATATTGAATGATAAACCATAGGTCTGTGGACTAAGGCTATACCTTTCCCTGGAATATTGCCTATATTTCTGTACTTATATCAACTGAAAAAAGTACAAAAATTATGCTGTCCTTTTACAAATTTGTACAAAACACTTATTTGGAGCCAAAAGGGCTTCCATTAAAGCCCCTCGGCACTAGTTTGGCCAGGAGGGATTAGACCTCTCTGCATGGTCACTGAAAGGTGGTTATCTCATCAAATCAGCTCTCAATAAACATAAGAAAAAGGGGACCATGGGAGACCAATGGTCACCGATTAGACATTGTTTGCTGTATAGAGGGCGCAAGTAGCTATAAAGTAGTAGTTACAGTAGGGCTTTAATATCTATTATGAAATTTCATGTCCTTCTTAATCCTATTGTTACAAATGAAGCTTTCGATCAAACTATCATATTTATTATCTGCAATGATTCTCAACCCATACCAGGTGACTCACAGATTTCAGTTGGTGGAAATGGTGTCTTCTCTCAACAAGAAATTCAGGCAGGCAGTAAACAGGTAAGCTTAGAACAGAAGGTTATCACTAGTTTTTTAAAACTTCTGCGACCCGTTTCACAAAGCTTTTTTGCAATGACAGATGACAGAAATCAGTGACGAATCTGCAAATAACCAATCAGAAGCAAGGATTTCACTAGCTTATTACAATAACTGTCATTAGTCACGGATGACAAGTTTTGTGAAATGGGGCCCTGATGGCTAAACCAATGCATGTGGGATATTTATTAAGTCTGTGCTCATATTGTCTTTTCAGAACCAGCAATGAATTAATTATGTGTTAATAAATATTAGTTAATGCCTGTCTGGCTCTAAACAAACAATACATAAGCCGAATGTATATGTACCGTAGGTCAAAGGTCAAAGCAAGAATGATGTCAAAAACAAAACAGACATCCACTAACACATGATTCTGCAAGAGGGAAAATAGAAAAAATAATAATTATTGAATCATTATCTGCCGTCAACCCAGCCCTGGAAGCTGTTTTTTTTTTTTTGGGGGGGGGGGGGTTGGGGGGGGGGGTGAGGGGTCTAATTTCTTTTGCACACTAATTAGATCATTCATACAAGAGAAAAGAATTGTTATTTTTGAGAAGAGGAAAAACAGAAAGTGATAAATAATGAACCATCGACTCACACCTTGGGGCTCATGGGGGAGGGGTCTAATATGTTTTGCACACTAATTGGGTCATTCATGCAAAAGAAAAGAATATTTAACTTATATAATGATATGACTTGGTTAGGAGAGTGGAAACCAAATTCATTTTACCTTTGCCTTCCTCAGATTGACAGTTCTGATGATAACTACCAAGCTCATAATACAGAAGCTTTGGAAGCTACCATCTTGCCAGCAATAGGGGAGCAAGAAACCTCCATATCTGATGGACAGTACGATAACTACGAAGAGGTGGAAATGGAAGTAGATGACGAAGAAGAAGAAAAGGAAAATCTTCCAAGTAAGACCATACTTGTGATTTTTTCAAATACTGAATTGACAGACTGGTTTATTAATGCCAGAACTTTGGAATGCAATACACAAGAATATTACCTTGGATGCATAGAATTAAGCTGTGTTTTTTTTTGGTCAATTTGGCCTGTATTTTATTTATTGCTGGGTATGCTCGTGATCTTTGTTACACTTCTCTACACAGAAAAAAAAAATACAGCCATGCTAAATCATTACTGGCAAAACATTCAATTTAATACAAAGTCCAGGACTTTTAATTCTATTACTGTATAAAATCTGATTAAGTTGTAACAAGCTGCGAGGAACATTTTAAAGATAAAGACCAGTTATGGTCATGCGATTGCATTGTGAAAGAAACGTTGTGGAATCTATCAGAAAAGGTTGATCATCTGGCATATACGTATTGGTGTGTACTGCAAGGTTTTGGAATCATCAAAATGATAAGAAATTTGGCCCAGTCTTGGTAAAGATACAATACACAGAAAGATGTATATGAGACTACGCACACGTGCGTTTCTCTCACATACCAATAGATAACTAATTTACCAAATATATCAATTAGTAGGCGGTTTCCCCGGCAAAATTGTTATCATGTATTGGTCAAAACATTCTTTCACATGATAATAGCTTCCATTTCATGAAATTAGGGCGTTTCCAATACTGGTCTTTACCTTTAATTTTAGTTTTTATAAAAATGTTGAACAAAATGGGGAGGAGAGTGTAGTCTGAATTGAGTTACTGCCTTGGCAGCCTCACACATTGTACTCAAGGTTGCTAGCGTGATGTATTCCAACCAATACACCGGCACGTTGAGCATCCACTGTGCATGTTTCAACACAGTGTCTTCTGCCCGAAAGAAAGCACCGTGTAAGGTCCAAGGTTTTCTGTTACACCACCCCCTGTTTCCAGGGGCACCCCTCTCGGATGTAAATGCCCCTCTCTCAGACCTTCCCTGGGGTCATGTAGGTAATCAGATACCTGTATGTTACCCCATGTGTAAGTATCCCCTCCAGACGACTGCATGTTGGGGTGAGGATATATATCACCATAATTGTTCCTCAGATTTTGAACAGTTAATAAAATGTGAAAGCCTGTAGTTTGTATAAAACCAATATAGTTGCCAGTATTGATATTCAGTTAACTTGATATAATGAGAGTATCGTTAATTTCTGAAGGAATTTTACGAATACGACAGAGAAGTGGCAAATGAGGTGATATATTGTTTTTGTGCATATCTAATTAGCTGATTTGCATATATGATAATATATCTGAATATTAATGCTTTTTATTTAAAACACACTCATGACTCATGAGCCTTCTTACTTATGTTTTTCAATTCTAATGTGATTGTACCATTGAAGGAAAAAAAAAATTGTTGTTCAAAGAATATGTGATTTTGCATATTTAATGAGCTCATTTGCATATAAGAGGCATATATGAATGGAGTATCCATACTACATGACTCACATGTTGGCGGTTGCACCACTGTGCATACAATTGTGACATATTTCATCCTTTTGTTCAATCAAGAAGTGCTTTTACAACAACTTCAATTGAAATGTTTCATACAGAAAGGATTGGTATGATCTCATTTGCATATATCAGGGAGATGTTCAGTGCCTAGCTAGTATACAGTGATGCACTGCATTGATCTAGTTGTACTTCTAGCTTGCAGACTGCATGCCCCAAATTAGAATATTTGAATATTAGTGGCCATGCAATTCAAGTAATTGTTTACAATTCCAAATTTGTCTGTATTACATAACAGTAGCTCACAATAACATCGATTTTGAATCTTTGATGATAATAAAAATAATACAGTCGTATAACTGCCATAGCATCTCTACATGCTACTAGAAAGAACATACATACATTGTATAACAGGAAAGACAGATGCTGTAATTGCACAACCACAGTTTATTCAAAATGTTTTTTTACTGGTAGTCAATTTAAAAAAAAATGTTCATATACATGTAGCTCATTTGATTTATCTCTGATTGCGTTTTATCTTTCATTTTCATTTTCAGAGCCTGGCATTCAAGAAGCAGTAGACAATGCAAATAAGGTATGTATTTGCTAGTTAGAAATCCTTACTTTCGTGGAATAAGTGAAATTTACAGTTTGTTAAAGGTGTATGAGACAATTTCTTAGTATACAATCACATTATGGATCTAAAGACAGCTTATGGGAAACAGAAGTAATGGCACCTACTATCTATAGTCAGGTATTTTTTTTTTTACATTTCACATTTTAACTTACGTTTATGTCAGTGGCGGATCCAGGATTTGCCGATAGGGGGGCGATAGGGGGGCCTAAAATTGGACAATCGCGCCAACTAAAATTTCGTCCAGTTTTTGAGAGAAAATTTTGCAACGACTCAGTCAGGGGGGGGGGGGGCACTAACTACAACAAATTATATGATTTAAACATTTTTTTTTTTTTTAAGCCAGGGGGGGGGGGGGGGGCCAGGCCCATCGGCCTGGGCCCCCCCCCCCCCCCTGTTTTTTGTTAAGATATTTTTGTTAATATATTTTTTTGTATGAAGTTGCCTACAAATAATGGACGTGCTGTTTTGAATTGCGATTTTCACTCTTTCGGCGTAAAGGCCGCACCCCGACTTTTTGATATTTTCTCTTCCAAAAATACTGCGGCCTTTACGCCGGCAAATATACGGTACATAACTTTCATGACACTTATCCATTATTTTGTCTCCGTGTATTTCACAATTTGGTATGCAATGACCTTTATCTGCTCATGCTCAGACTGAAGCTATGAACAGGGGGGTGTTTCACAAAGATTCTAAGTCAAGCCTAAGTCTAAATTGGACTTGAATATTATGGAAAGACATTTGTAGCCTTACAATGAAATGTGTTCAAAAGCAAAACTTCAAGTATTTTAAACTTTACATGAATTCAACATGAAATCAAAATAGGAAGGGGATTTGAATCAATATTTTATGCCTTTTAAAATAACTTTTACAAAATATTTTCAAAGATGCTATTAACAGCTTTCCATAACTGTTAAGTCCAACTTAGAGATAAGTTCAACTTAGGATCTTTGTTAAACAGACGATAGGAATGATTTGAATCAACATTTTATGCCTTTTTAAAATAACTTTTACATAATATTTTCAAGGATTATAACGGCTTTCCATAACTGTTAAGTCCAACTTAGAGATAAGTTCAACTTAGGATCTTTGTTAAACAGACGATAGGAATGATTTGAATCAACATTTGATGCCTTTTTAAAATAACTTTTTTCAAGGATTATAACGGCTTTCCATAACTGTTAATTCCAACTTAGAGATAAGTTCAACTTAGGATCTTTGTGAACCACCCCTGGCTTATTGCCAACACACTTTCACTGTATTTGCTTCTGTCATTCTTCATGCAGGAACCTAAAGGAGCTGTGGTTGAGATTATCAAAGATGAAGGTGAGGCTGAAGAGAATCAGCTGAGAGCTCAACTCCTGAAATCTCTGCTCACCAAGCGAGCCGCAAAAGCACAATCAGAAAAGGTACATTTTATAGACATGCCTGTCTAAATTCTGTCATTATCATTTGTTAAAAGGGAAATCCAACCCTTGTTATAAGTAGATTTGTAAGAAAGCATTAAAAAAACAAACAGAAAGAGAATAGCAAAAGTTTGAAATGAATCGGAACAATAGTATGGAAGTAGTATCGGAGCTCCTTCAGCTCCTTTCGAGGTGCCTATGAGTGATATAAAAATATCCATAATTATCATTATTTTTATTTACACACTTACAGATCAATGCCAGTACTGGAAGCACACCCAGCAAGCCCTTATCCCCAGCCACACCCCCTCTCTCATCTGCCCCCTCCCCTCTATCCGCTGCCCCCTCCCCACCACCTTCCTCAAACCAGCCCCCTCGCACCTCCACCCCGCCCCCTCATCCCTCGACTCCGCCCACCTTGTCCAGGTCGTCCTCCCCTGTCACCACAAGGCTTCAGCAACAGGGTTCCTCATTGGCTGGTCAGGTGCCAAGCAGAGCAAAGCCACCAGTGGTAAGCCAACTATTTGGCCGTTTGTTTGTTGTTGTTGTTTGTTTGTTGTTTTTTTTTTGGGGGGGAGGCTTATTCAGGTATGACGCAACAAAACAGCGTTTTTTAAAACTTTTATAATGACGTAAAGTGTAATAAGCCCTCACATTTCTGTGTCTTATGACATATTGGATAGGACCTGTGTCGCGAGTAGTTGCAATTCATTTACACCTAAACTTTAAAAAGTATGGCGTTTTTTTGCGGGGTTTACTGTGTCACATCTAGGACAGGTCCACCCTGAGAATGAATTTCTTTTATCAAAAGCGGAAAAAAAGAGCGAAGCAGATAAGTGACAGTTTTAGAAAATTTGACAAAGGGTAAGGAAATCATAAATTTTTCTTTCCGTTATTATTGATTAAAAGACAACAGTTGGATATAATCTATCATTTTTCTTCATACTCCTCATCCATTAGCCCATAGAGAGCCGGATGAAGTTGTTTGAGGTTGGTTTTATACATTCTGGGTTTACACAATTTTCTTTTTGGTGATTGGGAAAATTTAGGAAATATGATGAAGGATAAGGAAATTTTGAATTATCAGAATTTTCCTTTCTGTTTTTATTGATTAAAAGACAACAGTCGGATATGATTTTTCATTTTTCTTCATACTCCTCATCCGTTAGCCCATAAATAGGCGGATTAAGTTGTTGAGGTTGGTTTTATACATTCCAGCTGTACACAAATTTTTATGCCTCCGCCACCGAAGGTGGTGCCGGAGGCATCATGTTTTCGGGTTGTCCGTCCGTACGTCCGTACGTCCGTCCGTACGTCCGTCTGTACGTCCGTACGTCCGTCCCGTTTGACCGTTATCACAATATCTCAAGAACCATTTAAGATTTAAACTTAAGACTCGGGAATAGTATTTATCACCATAGGAAGACGATCTGATTAGATTTTGGAGTACGTAGGTCAAAGGTCACAGGTCACAGAGGTCAACTTATGAAATTCCTTGTATTGAGTTTGTTAGCGCGATATCTCAAGAACCATTTGAGATTTAAACTTCAAACTTAAGGATAGTATGTATCACCATAGGAAGACGATCTTATTAGATTTTGGAGCACGTATGTCAAAGGTCAAGGGTCACAGAGGTCAACTTATGAAATTCCATACATTGAGATTGTTATCATGATATCTCAAGAACCACTGGAGATTTAAACTTCAAACTTAGTGATAGTGTGTATCACTATAGGAAAACAATCTAATTACATTTTGGAGCACGTAGGTCAAAGGTCAAGGGTCATAGAGGTCAACTTATGAAATTCCATACCTTGAGATTGTTATCATGATATCTCAAGAACCACTGGAGATGTAAAAACTTCAAACTTAAGGATAGTATGTATCACCATAGGAAGACGATCTGAGTAGATTTTGGAGCACGTAGGTCAAAGGTCAAGGGTCACAGAGGTCAACTTATGAAATTCCATACGTTGAGATTGTTATCATAATATCTCAAGAACCACTGGAGATTTAAACTTCAAACTTAATGATAGTGTGTATCACCATAGGAAGACAATCTGATTAGATTTTGGAGCACGTAGGTCAAAGGTCAAGGGTCACAGAGGTCAAGTTATGAAATTCCATACATTGAGATCGTTATCGCGATATCTCAAGAACCACTGGAGAATTTTCACTTCAAACTTAATGATAGTATGTATCACCATATCATAATATCTCAAGAACCACTGGAGATTTAAACTTCAAACTTAATGATAGTGTGTATCACCATAGGAAGACAATCTGATTAGATTTTGGAGCACGTAGGTCAAAGGTCAAGGGTCACAGAGGTCAACTTATGAAATTCCATACATTGAGATTGTTATCATGATATGAACCACTGGAGATTTAAACTCCAAACTTGTTTAAATTGCTCTATGGCGGAGGCATCATTTTCGACTGCGCGCAGTCAAAATTCCATCTAGTTTTTTTAGGTGATTGGTACTCTTCAACTCATAGCCTGCCATAAGGCTGCATGCACGCTATTGTTATAGTGCTTTGTACAAGCGAGCAAGCTACTGTTACTCTGCTTCTTGCATGATTGCACGCATTCGTAATAGCAGTTATTGTTCATGCCCATTGGACTGCCCAGTGTTTTGCACGCGCTATTGGTAGTACATTCATGTTAATCTGATTATCTCGTTATATATTTGGCACTGGGGGGATTTGTGGCTTGGCACAATGGGGATTAGCCCTGTGGCAGGATAAGAGTTAAGTAGAACATTCTTTATTTTGTTCATACAGGCACCAGTGCATCTGCCTGTGGTGATCAATCTAGAGGAAGACTCTGATGAGAGCGAAGATGAGTCGTCGTTGTTGTCAACCTCCGTTCCTTTCATGGGACAGCTAGATTCCTTCCTAAAAGAATTTAGGATGTCTTCCAATACCCAGGTGAGATCTTATTTTGTTTAAATTTTCTGTAAAAACCATCTTGGATATTCAATTCAATTCAATTCAATTCAAAATGGTTTATTAAAATACTTTCATTGCGGCAAAGCCGAATTGCGAAAATTTACAATAACACAGTAACAATCAATAAAATACATAATGTAGAACATGGTAACATTACAATCAAACTATTAAGTACAGTCAGGATGGATGAAACAGAAAAAAATGGGAAAGAGAAAGAGAGAGAGAAAAAGGAAGAGAGAAAGAGAGAGAGAAAAAGGAAGAGTGAATGAGAGAGAGAAAGAGAGAAAAAAATAGAGAGAGAGAGGGGTGGGGAAACTGCAAATGGGATGTAGGAATACAAGGAGACAGAAGCTGTCCTAACATGGACAGAGATATTATATTAGAGATATTATTTCACCATGTACAAAATTATATTTTTCAGGACTATCCACATTGTGAAACTGCAAAGTTATTAATGTAGAACTGACTCTAGTATAATTCTGTATCTTGCTAGCAAAATCTACGACTACATGCATTTTATACAAAAGTCATGACCCATGCTTTTAATTAATTTTCATTTGAAACCCCACTGCACTACTTATAGCTATTTGTGCCCTCTATATAGCAAACAATGCCTAATCAGTGACCATTGGTCCCCTTTTGATTATGGTAATTGAGAGCTGCTTTGATGAGAATACCACCTGTCAGTGACCATGCATGGAGGTATAATCCCTCCTTGCCAAACTAGTGCAGATAGGCTTTAATATATTTATGTTTTCTTGGTTTCATTTTATCAGAATACTAAGACCAACAACCAAAAGACAACAGGGAAGCATCAAGCTCGGTCAACTTCAAAATCAGTCCGAGTCCCCAAGACCCCCGATGCCATGAAGATTGCCTCCACACCAACTCGGCAAGAGTACCACCGACTCAGAGAGGAGATCGCAAGAAGGGAGCTGACCAGAACGACAGCCTCAAAGCCCCAGAAGGGGAGATCGGAAAAGCATGAGCGAAAGACGCACAAGCATGCGGTTGGTGGAAGACACAAAGAATTGGGAGATGAGGGTGATGATGCCTCAGGGCGTGGGGGGAGTAGACAACCGGTAGCTGGTAGCGAGATGGAGCACGGCAGGCGAGAGATGCAGGTCACGATCACTGGACATAATGAGAGACAGATTCTGAAGAGCACTGGCATGCCCAAAGCTGACCAAGCGAGGGGGATGCAGGAAGCTGCTGCTGGCAGTGGCACCACCAAGGTACGCCTCTCGCAAGGTACTATCAACCCCACCACTCGCCTCACAAGCGAGACAGATTTCAAAAGGACTATGAGTTCTTTAGAAGCAGAATTATCAAGGGAACTCAGTGCCATTAGAGAATTGACTAGTACAGCAAATGTTACCATGGAAACGCATCGTCCTTCCTCGACAGGTGCGGATGCTGGAAGCAGGATGGTGGAGGAAAACCTAGATATTGAAAGAGAAAGAAGGAAACAGGAGTGGGTGGCGAAAAGAAGAGCTGAAACGGAGAAGCGAATCCGAGAGGAACTGAAGATGGCCGAGATGGAGAAACAGAGAGAAGAACTGAAGAAGGCAGAGATGGAGAGACAGAGAGAAGAACTGAAGAAGGCAGAGATGGAGAGACAGAGAGAAGAGCTGGCAAAGATGAAGATGGAGAGACAGAAGCAGGAAGAGGAGATTCTGAGAAGAAAAGCAGAGATGCGGAAAAAGAAGTTGGAGGAGATAGAGAACAAGAGGAGGCAGGTCTTGGGGTGGGAGAGAAGAAGAAATGAATATAGGTGAGACAAGCAAATTTGATTTCTTTCAACTATGACTACTCTACTCGTAATACAGGGCTTGCGTACTTTAGAGGCCCTAAATCTTCTTTAAAATTAAAAAAAGGGGTCTAGTGCACCTGAACCCTCCATTCTTCTGCCCCGATCCCCAGGTATAGTGTTACTGTTGAGGAGTTTGATATGCAAGAATGTAAAAAAGAACGCATTAACAAATTTGTTGTTTTAAGGGTATTGCTCTACATCTAAACCAAAAAACAACCCACTTTTCTCTTCATGCTTATGTCTTCTTTTTAGTGATCCCCTCTCAGTAAATGTTTGTTATACAGACAGAAATACATGGTATGAACACTGCACAATACAGCTGAATTTGCAAGTATTATGTCCTGTAACTAAGTGAGTATACTACAGCCAAACCTGTATAGAATGACCACCTGTCTATAAATACCACATGTTTAGTTTCCCTCGATATAGTTTCTCATTTAAACCAGTATTTCAGGAACCTGTACTTAAAGACCACCTGCCTTGTATGGTCTTTATATACAGGTTTCATTGTACAGTCAAACCTGTCTAGAGCGACCACCCAAGGGTAACACAAAAAGTGGTCTTTGTAGACAGATTTCTTTAGTACATGTTTTAATGAGAAACCATTTTCAAGGGAAACAAAAAATGTGCTTGTTGTAGACAGGTGGTCTTTGTAGACAGGTGGTCACTATTGTTTGACTGTTTAACCATTTTCATTACAGTGTACTCTTGAAGAAAGATAAAGGCCTGATCATGAACCAAGAGCAACAGATTACTAAAAGACGGAAGAACATCAGCGTAGCCAAGGTGCAGTTAGAACGTCTCAGGGAACAGGTGGCAGCCCTGGAGAAAGCGCAGGGTGTGAACCAGACCCACATGCTCAAGCATATCAGACAGGTTAGAAAGTGGGTGTGTTCATATCTGAGTTGATCATTGTAAAGAGGTGTGGATTAAGTGCTTAGGTTTGAACAAGGCCTGTAGCCCTGCATGATAAGCAATTCAGCCAGGTTAGAAAGTTGGTGTGTTAATATTACCATGATCATTGAGTAAGACTAATAGGGGTGGAGTAAGTGTGTAAGCTGAACAAAGCTAATGTGATCAAGTATTCAACAAGGTTATTAAGTGAATGTCTTCATATCGTGGGTTGATTATTGAGTGATTTCAAGTTGGGTGTTTAAGGCTGGTGTTAGTGTTTAATAAACACTAACACCAGCCTAAACACCGAATTGGAAATCAGCTGGTGTTAATGCTTTGACCTCTGAATATCGTCAACTTCCGGTAGCTAGTGTTATCAATTTTGCAAAATTGTCGTCTGCTGAACCGACCTTTGTGGCTGGTGTTAATATTTTACGTACAAATGTCCTATTCACTAAAACTAGCCCCTAGGGATTAAGCAAATGTTGATTTCCAGTTCGGTGTTAGTATTGTACCCGCACACAGTCAACGCACGAGCGACGCCAATTTATTGTCTGACGATCAAATAAAAATATGTGGAACAGGTAATTCATATATTCTTTTGTGTAAAATGACTATTTTATAAGACCAGAGTAATAGGTGTAAATTTATTCTGGAATTTTCATGATATCTTTAGTTTTGATGTACTATTTTTAAATCATTGTCGTGAAATAAAGTATGTGCTGACGTCACAGCTGGTGTTAAGCTATCGATTTTGATCAGGCTCTTAATTTCGTCAGCAAATTTTTCGCTCGATTTAAGAGCTCTTGACTGCTCTAAACACTAACACTAACACTAACACTAACACCCAACTTGAAATCACTCATTGTGTTCAGTCTAATTTGGGTGTTTTATATATATATATATATATATATATATATATATATGCATAGGTCGAACAAGGCGCATATGATCGTGTATTCAACAAGCATAGAAAGTTGATTAGTTCATATCATTAGTTGATCATTTTGTACATCTAGAGACATGATTCAATGCCAAGATTTAAAGGTATAACAAAGTTTTGGGAAATTTTGAAAAATGGGTGGATAGTGATTCTTTACAATTTTAATATATTTGGATGCCCCTGTAGATGTATTAAAAACACCAGAAATTGTAGCTCCTAAAACACTTCTGCTTTCGAGAAAAATTGAATATAAAGATTTACCGGTGCTACCGGTATATTTTGATTAAAAAAAAAGAAATTCAAATAGCTCCTACGGCCGTACAATGGTAGCTGCGACCATGAAAATCTCAGAGTATGTAGTTGTGGTATATAATTTCCGATCGAGAAAAGTTTATCAGTCAATTTTAGTCAATAAAAACATTGTTTTAAAGCTTAATTAATATCTTGAACTTGAGAGGGAGCTATTCAACATACAGTGTTTATTATTTACAATTTCATAACTTTAGGGTCGATTTCGACCGCGACAACGATCACTGAATATTGTAGGATCGTATATGCTTCCAATATGTTCATTTGAACCAAATTCATGACCCCATACCAAAACTTTGTATTACCTTTAATGAGACCCTAATGTCCTGTAACTATTAATTTCAGTACCCGGTATGTTGTTTTTTGATCAATTTCGGTAAAATCTTCTGTTGTTCATTCAATCCTCCCCTCAATTTTATGTGCTCTTATAGAAAACAGCTTTGGAAGCGAGGTTGACCAAAAACCTGGAATTAGACAACCACGCCCGCTCCCATCTTGCCAAACTGAGGGGCGTGGCCCTCTCAGAAATCACCCCATCGGAGTATCGTTCCACACTGCCTAGGTCAATCAACCAGGTCGCACCCTCTGTGTCGGGAGAGAAAAGGAGAATTGAAGCACCAGACTCGAGCAGTTTGGTAAGTGCTCATCTATGTTAAAGGTAGAGACCGATTCTGGTCATGCGGTTGCATTGTAAAAAAAACGTTGTGGAATCTATCAGAAAAGCTTGATCATCGAGCATATAAGTATTGGTGTGTACTGCAAGGTTCTGGAATCATCAAAATGATAAGAAATTTGGCCCAGTCTTCGTAAATTTACAAGCACTGTACACAGAAAGATGTATATAGGACTACGCGATATCTATCCAATCTGGATAGATATGATAATTTACCAAATATATCAATTAGTAGGCTGTTTCCCAGCAAAATTTGTATCATCATGTATTAGCCAAAACATATTCTTTCACATGATTGGTAATAAGAGCTTCCATTTCATTTTTTGAGAGGGGGGCATTTCCAAAACTGGTCTATACCTTTAACCTGTTAGCTACTATATTTTCTCAATCCATAGGCTTAAAACAAGGACCATCCAGTTCTTTTGGCCTTGGGTTAAAGATAGGAGTGGGTTCTCCTGGGGAATCTGACACTGTTCAAGTGTTTACCCAATAACAGGTGTGGTCAATCACCAGGATTAGCCTTCAGTTATATGACCAACAGACCTTATGTAATGCTTTGCATTTTCCTTCCATCCCCCCACCTGGTAAAGTCAATACCTCACTTTTTCCTCGCCCAAAGACTCTCTGTGAGACGAGGGGATATTTCTTGATAGGCCCACGGGTTTGCTGTGTGCAGGCTTGTACGCACATCAATAGTATTTCCACAAAGTCTGGTGTCAGCGAATTTTGGCTCTCTGCACATGGAAACATGATGACCATCTCCCTTTTAGACATGAGGCCATAGGGCAACACAATTAAGGGCTCGTTCTGACCTGACGTGGTAAACTGCTGCAAAATAATATGAAGTGTATCGCATTTTACATCATTAAAGCTTGCATAGTCTTGCACACAACCTGCATAATCAGGAGCGATGGAAAAAAAATGACTTGAATACTGGTTTGTCATCTGAGTTCTTGAGCCCTCTTAAGCAAGTTTATATCACAGTTTAGAATGAGCAGCAGCAGTGATTATTAGATATTGACTATTCTTTCATGATTTTTTTCTTTCTTCACAGGACATCAAGAAAGCAAGGACAGCTGGCCAGACTGCCGATCTCAAGAAACTCCAGGACATGGAACGCCACCTAGCGGAGAAGATTCGCCAGTTCAGAGAGGCGGAGGCGAAGAAAGCTCTCGTAGGCGTCACAGCAAAATCTGTCATCCCAGAAAGCAAAGCAAAACTAGTCAGGCAACTTTCCGGTCCCAAACCCTCTGCAAAGATTTACACAAAAGATGTGATTAAACTTAGTTCTGAGGCAACAGCTCCTGTCGACAGTGAGTTGGAAGAGGTCAAAGTGGAAGGGTCAAGTGTCAAAGGTCAAGAAAGGAGGAAATCTTGGCTGGATGCGAACCCCACGCTTACACCAAACATCAAAAGCCGCTCAAGCTCGAAGGCTTCCACCCCCACCACCCCATGCATAGCTGCCCTTGGTAAGATGAAGGCAAAGTTCAAGTTGGAAGGTCAAAGGTCGGGTCAAAGTTCACTGACAGACACTTCATTGGAGAGTGACCTCCTGCAGTGGATAGAGTCATCAGAACGAACAGGCAGCCCAGTACCCGTCACTGTGAACACTCCGAAAAACTTACCTCTGTTCGGTCGGAAGGCCCTGAAGTCAGGGTACCTGAGCCGTATCAGGAAAGAGCAGAAGGAAGCGGAAAAGAAGGGGCCAGATTTCTTGTCCTTAGATTTCAATCAAAGACTGCCCTCTATGGAAGCAACAGGGCAAGAGTGCTTCCGTGTAGACTGGTGTAAAGACACAAGTAGAGAACAGCAGGCTAGTGTGGAAGGTGTAGAAGCAGTGAAAGATGAAGTAGAGAATGCATCACCAGTCCAGGCTGACTCTCATGGCCTTGTGGCTTACAGAAGTTCCTTACTGCCCTTCAAAGCTTTCAGGTAACCATCACCAAACATCAGGGGGGTGTTTCACAAAGCCGTTTTTTCAATGACAAATTACCAAAATCAGTGACAAATCTGCTGATAACCAATCAGAAACAAGGATTTCAGTAGCTTGTTACAAAAACTGTCATTTGTCACTGATGACAAATTTTGTGAAACACCCCCCAGTTCTCTTAATCTCATGTGAAGAACTAAAGTTTCTGAACTTTAACGCATTAATTGTTGTCCAGAATCCAGATTGTACAGGATTAACAAAGTAAAACTCAACAAAGTAGCCGTACAATTTTACAGAATACTAATATAATTTGCTCTTGAAGTTTCCATATCTGTACAAATTTCTGTTTAATTTTAATTACTCTTGTGTTAATGACGGCAATCTTTGTGAAAATGATCATAACATTATGGCAGGTTCTGTATAGTAGCATTTCATTTCCATGTTCTGATGTACATCGAGCAATACCTTCATCAAATTTTCCTTAAACTTTTGCTCATCTGTTTTTTCTAATTTGTCGTTTCGATCACAAAGGAACATGTAATGATGATTGTTTTTAACTTTTCTGCTTTGACCGAACTCATCTTGTTATTAGGTTGGCCTTTTTCTGTAACCTATCTCTCATTTTTACCCTGCTTGTTTTCATGTCATTTCAATTTTTCTCTGACTTGTTCTCTTGTGATTCTTTCGTCTTCAGGCTAAGCCCCTTGTTCCGACTCAAGGCAGGGTATTCCGTCCAATCACTTAGCTTCACAAACAAGCTTGATGCCAGCAGGCCGCTCTGCCTGTACGAGCTTAAGGGAACGTGCAATGATGATGACTGTGTTTGGTAAGAACAGTGGGGCTCTGGGGGAGGGGGGGGGGGGGGTGGCAGGGACTAGAGTGAGGGAGAGGTTAGGATTGGGGGAGGATGGATGAGGGGGGGGGGGTTTCGTGCTGTCACCCAGCTTCATGAACAGGCTCTATGTCAGTACCAGCTCAAGGGAACGTGCAATGATGATGACTGTGTGTGGTAAGTACAGTGAGGTTCTGGGGAGGTTGTAGTTGGGGGGGGGGGGGGGCTAGAGTGGAGGAGAGGTTGGGACTGAGGGAGGATGAATAGGGGGAGTGGTATTTCGTGCTGTCACCCAGCTTCATGAACAGGCTCTATGTCAGTACCAGCTCAAGGGAACGTGCAATGATGATGACTGTGTTTGGTACGTATAGTGGGGTTCTGGGGAGGGCATAGTTTTGGGAGGAGGCAGGGTGAGGGGAGGGGGGGATGGAAGGAATATTCTTGTCCATTAGCACTTTATGATAGATTTTGTAATCAATAGAAGAGGACAAGAAGACAGTCCGAGTCTTTCTACATTATTAGCAGCAAAATTGGAACTCAGTTTTACATTTTATTGAACGTGAAAGGGCAGTGAGAATTATACAGCTAAGACTTCATGTCTGTATTTAAAAATCTTATTTGATTCTTGTCCTTTATTACTGGGGCTTTAAATATACAAGACAGCAGGAGAACCTGTTTGAATTGAAGTTACTTCGTAATTAAAAAAATGATTGTTTTTGTTTGAACTGAATATATGAATGGCCTCCGTTTTTCAAAGCATTGCTTTCCTTTTACACATTTCCATCACTTGCAGGCAACACGAGAGAGACTACACCATGTCCTCTCGTGAGATGCTGACTGATCTCCTGTCCTACAATGCTGTCAGCAGCAAAGCTCAAGGCAAGGATGACATCGCAATGAAGAACGTCCCTGCCAGCCCGGTCCGTCACAAACAAGCTTCCAGCGAGAAAGACAAACTCAATGCTTGCATTGAGAAAGTCCTAGGAGGAAATGATAAAGGTAACATACTTTCAACATGAATTTGAATGTTTCCTTTTTTTCCCACTCAGTTGGTGCTCTTTTGCTCTTATCAGATTATCTACTGTAATTCAAATTGTATTCAAACTATCAAATATTCATCTGTTAAAGCAGGACTGCACTACTTGTAACGACTTTCGCCCTCTATATAGCAAACAATGCCGTTGGTCCCCCATGATCCCCTTTTTCTTATGTTAATTAAAAGCTGATTTGATGAGATATTCACCTGTACGTGACCACGCAGGGAGGTCTAATCCCTTTTGGCCAAACTAGTGCAGATAGGCTTTAAAGGTGCCCAACAGAAATCAGCGAATGGATGCGTTGACAAGGAGTATACATTTCAAGAAATACACATTGTAAAGTCTAACATTTATTTGACTTCATCGACACAACGCAATTTAAACGCGTTATGTTAAGTTGTGGATTATAAGTTCATAATGCATACATTGATCACCCTGATTGGTTTTCAGTATTGTTTTGTTTATCTTCATCATAAAGTTAAAAACTTGAGACATTTTACCAGAATTGTGTTTCTGCCAAGCAAACAATAATTTACTATATACGCTTGTGGCACTGATGCATTTAACATCGTTAGTGTATATTACTCTTTGTGTCCATTTGTCCGTAGGAGTTGTATCTCGCCTAATCTCTTGCCCTCGCAAATGGCGCCCAAGGCCTCGCCCCCGCTCCCAGCGTCTCTCCATGGGCGAAGACGACGCCCTGACGGAAATCCTCCCCCTCCGTCCTCCAAAGTATCCCAAGTCATCCGCTTCCACAGTGATTCGAAAAGAAGCAATCCAGAACGCGGAGGAAGAGGCGAGGTACTTCGGTGGTGGTCGGGGGGAAAAGGTTGTTGACCTGGGAAAGGTCAGGGTTCATGACCTTGACCTTGGAAGGTTAAGGGTTCATGACCTTGAGGCTGCTGTTCTGGAGAAGCCAGGGAATGTGGCGCTTTGGCTCAGTCTGGCAAGGAGCCTGCTACAGGAGGAGTCAAGGTGAGTTGATAGATGCGGAAAACCTAAGACAAAAGACCTGGGCATCGTTTTGCGAAACAGTCATTAAAGGGACTTTGTAACATTGTAAAGATGAGAGAAAATGGTCCTAAGGTAGTGACTTCAATGTCAGATGTACAATTAAAGATAATAATTAAAGAAAGTTTGAGTGAAAACGGACCATTATTAACGATAAAAACTGATCTGATCGATACCTCAATTCTCCCAACTATATTATTACAAGTTAATTACATTTTAGGTGAATGTAAATCGTCACAAAGCAATAAATTGGCTCTACATACCAATCCAGACATTTAAGTGTTGACAGATTTTTTTTAGCGTGTTTTATCTCTTTTTTTCATGGAAAAACGGTTGGGAGAATTTACTGTTAATCACTGTTAGAGGGTGTTGACCAGTGTCGCCTTCTTAGAAAACTGTTGATATCTTTGTGATTTGAGAATTTTTTCAGGGTTTTTTGTGTGTTAGAGGGTTAGTACAGTAGAGGGAAGATAATAAGTAACATTTCATACCAAAATTATGCAATTTTCACCGATGTCCCAGGAAAAGCTTTTATAAATTAAATACACTTGTTTCACTGGGTTGTTGGTGATCTTATACTTAAAATGGTTTCGTAAAATGCTGCCATGTACTTAATAAAGTAAATACCACCTTGTTTGATCGTTAAATTGAGAATCATATTCAGTCATGGCATAGGCTTGAAATTTGTCCCAATCTCAACTGATTTCAGTTCATTTGGAGCTTTTCCTTATTGCTTGATGAAGAAATATCATTGACAATATTAAGAAGTAACAGGCAAGGAAATGACAAGATATCAAAATGATCAAGAAAGTAGAATTGTCTTATGAAAGCATGTGAGAGTTGCTGGCCCCTTCTCTTGTTTCCAGATTTTGCCAAGTTTTCATAGTCGCATTCCTCCTTTCAAATATGACCCACATTGGCCGGAAATGTTTCATAGTAAATTTTGAAGGAACAGCATTAAAGAAACAACAAAAGTTGTTTTTAGTGCCTCAGGATTTCCCCGAGGTGTTGTGGTCTAGTGGATAAGTCGTCGGACAGTGGATCACAGGGTCCGCGGTTCGAGTCCCGCCACGGCACTCATGTCCTTTGGCAAGATATTAATTTGCCATCTCCATCCAGGTGTTAAATGGGTACTGGTACCGGTAGGAAGGAATTCCTTGAATGCTGTGAGCCCTGAAATGGGCTGCCTAGCAGAGCCGGGGTAATATGTGCGCTATATAAATGTCCAATATTATTATTATTATTCGACCCAATATATTTGTTTTCATTTCCAGTGTGGATAGAGCATTGAATGCCTTATCGAGAGGTCTGGAGTTGAACTGCAGCTCAGCCCCTCTCTGGCTCCAGTACCTCACTGTGTACAAGGAGAGAGCTGAGAGGGAAGACTATGTGGAGATGTGCCTCAAGGCGACTGAGTTGGCCCCGTGCTATTCAACATGGTGGATGGTCAGTTGTTTCTCTATTCACTCTATTCTCTTATCATTACAACTGTTTAGCTCTCAATAATAAATATAATAATAGTTTGTTCTTATATAGCGCTTTTCAGGAACGCAGACCCTCTCAAAGCGCTTTACAGATATATATTATTACCCCGGTTAATTGGATTTAGGCCTTTTCCGCACACAATGTATGCACATTCTCCACTCCCTTGGGAGCATTCCAGCCAGGCGTCATTTTTACAAATGATTTGCACCTATAATCAGTCCAGAATGTTACAGGAAGCAAAATCATTGCGATTGGTCTTTAGAGCTACCTCTGAGCCCACAAACATGATTGACTAGATGATGGTAATGGTTATCTTCTTTCAAGAAAGAAGGATGAACAACATAGTGATGAAGATCTCATGGAATTCCTTAAGACATATCCCTCGTGTAACGATACCCATTTTTGATGTTTTAAACAATGTACAAATAAAAATAATGGATATGATTTAATCTACTTTGTCCCTCTTTGCTCTATACCTGTACAGTTATTAGAGGCAGAATATTCAGTACTAACCAAACTAGAAACCTGCAAGAAAATCCTCAACTTCCTGAAGAACTCCAACAGCACCACCACCACCAAGGCGCTCCGCAATGTAGAACAAGCTGAAAGCTGCGTCACAGGAGAAAACAAGGATATTGAATGTGGCAAAAACGCTGAGAGTTCAAGGACTTTGGATGACATAAAGGGATTAACTTCTAGTAGTGCTGTGTCACAAAGTGTGGATAGAACTACCAATGTGAATGTCCATGGAGAAACTGCCATTGTTGCCATGGAGACGGAAGATAACACATCAGCAGCTGATAGGACGTTGGAAAGAGAAGGAAGGGCAAGCGGGGAGGAGAATGGTGATGAGGGAGAGAGGAAGGTGGATGTGGATTTGAGGCGTAGAGCGAGTGCTGGAGAAGAAGACGGAGAGAGATTGGACGATGTGAAAGGTCATGTGGTGAACAGGGAGAAGGTATCCCATCAGGTTTTGGAGATCCTGTTGTACCAGGCTCAGCTTCACATCAGCATCGGGCACAAAGATGATGCCATCAAGGATCTGAAGGTAAAACAATGAAGTTCTTACTTCATAGGCAAAAGAAGAAGAAAGAAGAGTCAAATCTTTGATTTAAAAAAAATATACAGTTAGATGTCATTTGCAGGCTTTGCCAGATTGCAGTGTGTTAAAATGTATAGGCTATGTTGCAGGCAGACACATTGTTCTGTGTTGAACCCATTCTCTTCAAGTTACGTTTAAAAAAATGTTAATGTATTTCTTAAATAATGGCTATATTCTGCTTACCAGGGTATTTCAATCTTATTACTTGCCTGTTATATCTTATAGCTGTGCTGTATGCGTATACGTCTTTTACCATTCTTATTTACGATGAATTTTTGTCCATTACCCTTGCAGAGTGCTCTTAGTATACCTGACCAATCAGAGGACAGGGATGCATTCTGCTCCATCATGATGACCTTTGACCTCTTCCTTGGCTGGCTGAGCCTCATGCATATTCATGCCACTGGTAGTCTTCCATCTAGTCTCTATGACCCAGCTGCTAAACTTCCAAGCAAAATTGTCAAGAAGGTTAGATAAAGCTTAATGTGAAAGAAAGAAAAGTGTCACGTCATTAACACTTTTTTTACCATTGTTGTTTGGTACACGCTGGTTGTAATCTAATAAATTCAATATCAAAAGATGTGCAAGCCTCTAAGCTATAAGTCTTGAAAGTTTATGTTGCAAATAACAAAAACAGAATATGCTCTAACATTTCTATTTTCTATGATTTTAGAAATATTGCTCGTAGTAACCATACTAATGAGTTACTTTGTTCATAAAGACATGGTATTATATTATTATTTATTATTTTGCAAAGTAATGCTGACAAGTCTGATAAAGCAAAGTATTTCTCTCGAGTAATAATAGTAATTACTTCTGCTACGACTACTACTACTACTACTTCTAGTACTACTACTGCTCCTACTACTACTAAAAATGGTTTCTTATGTAGCGTTTTTCCATTAACTAACCAAAGCGCTCACACAATTATTATGTTCGATGCATCTCTGAAGATTTATATTTTATCATTCTTTCCTCTCGATCTGTCTAGGATCTGTTTTCCATTTCGTGGAAGGTCAACGCAAGTGACCTTGACAAGCAGGATGTGGATGACCTCTGGGAGGGGGCAACCAAGGCGTGCTCAGAGGGGAGACCCCCCTCAGAACAACTAGATTCTAACGTGGTGGAGCTGTACAACATTGAGCTCGAAGAGCAACTGGGCAGGTAAGAGTACGGAATGCTTCAGAGCATATCTTCAATAGACCATTTTTGTAATGTAATCACATTTAATGCACAAATATTTGCTATGTGCCTCGTTTCAAATTATTTAATTCACTTGTTATGAATAATTGTATTTCAATAGACAGAACCGCAAACCGCATACATTTTATGTTGCTAGGTAGGAGAAACATTTCATTTCATTTCATTTCGTTTATTTCCATTTCCAACAAAATAAATAAAGTACATGGGATTGCATTGTACATAGTAAAACAATGAACTTAATAATATATTTATAATTGTTCCACAGTGTACAACAGGAATATAAAACAGGTTGGTCATGGAGGGGACTGCTGAAAAGCTGGGCTTGTAGATTATGGTTTGAATTCCATGGTTACATTAAGGTATTATATATTCTATTTAGTTCTTTACTTTTTTTTATACACCAGTGGCGAGTGGGTTGATCAGCTCTGCAAGCTTGACATGGGTCAATGCAGACCGTCCAAGGAAGGGGAGGAGCTGTACTGCCGCTGTATCGAAGCACTCCATAGGAGAGACATGAAACCTGTTGATGTTTTAATGGTAGGTTTAATTCATGCACAGGATGAGCTCAAGACAATGCAGTACTTATTAGAATGTATAGTTAAGAAATAGCTTATAGCTGTATTGTGTCATATGAACGTGAATTTGAACTCCTTTTCTAATGACTGTTTTGTAACTTGATTCTTTCCAAAGTCTGACTCTTTTCATAACTTTGCCAATGTCCTTTGGCAAGACGTTAATCTACATTTGCCACTGACCACCCAGGTGTTAAATGGGTATCCGGTAGGATGCAAACGTTAATGCGGTTAGATGAGCAATTGTGCGCTTGAAAGATGCCTGGCTGGAATGCTCCCCAGGGAATGGAGAAGTGAGCATACGTTGTGTGTGGGCAAGCCTGATTCCGATGACCGGGTAATAATAAATTTGTAAAGCGCTTAGAGACATCATGGATGTTTTAAGCGCCATATAAAAGTGGAATATTGTTAATATTATTACAAAGATAAATCTAACTTAATATATGTGTCAGCATTTCTGAATGTTCCTCACTGCGAAATGCAAGAACAGTTTATCCAAAGTTTGAGCATTACACAACAGAAATCTTATTTCAGTGTTAAATTAATTTCTTTGAAAGTGCAATCCAATTCTCTTTACCGGTATATCTTATTCTTATCACAGCATGTAGAGATGGGTGTGAGCCAGCTGCCCTTCTCCTGTCGCTTGCGCTTCATGGAGGCCCAGCTCCGTCTTCTCTACAGGATCGGTGACCCCAGGTCATCCCTCAGGGAGTGCATCGTCAACTTCTACCAGCTTCCAGTCGACGAGACCTCACCGGATGACTTCCTGCTCCAGCTGTACAGGTAAGTTCTGTTTCTATATCATTTGGAGGTTTATTTGGGATAATTTCATTTATTTATTCATTATTTTGGCAGTGGTTCTTTGTAAGTTTTACATGTTCCTCCCTCCTGCATGCTCATCACAATGTATTTCTAGAACATTTTTCTCCGCTAGGAGTTTTAAACTCTTTTTAAAAATCGTATTAAGTTCAACCATCAGCTACCCTAAGAATTGTTTCCAAATCAGACATTCCCCTTTTGTATTGCAAACAGTGCAAAATAATAATTTAATTATAATGCCAAAACCATTTGAGATATTGAAACATTTTTGTTTTTCTGAGGGCACAAGAGATTGGGGGGTCGGAATTCACCTCTCATTAGTTGTAAGATGACATAAATTAAGCTTAAAGGTGAACACAATGTGTTTGGATGATTATTAGACCTGACAAGCAGTCATCTAATCATCCCACCCCCCCCCCCCCCTCCTCTTGTTCTATCTTGCAGGCATCAACTGAAGTTACCTATGCCCCTGGACTTCAAACCCCCACCCTCATCCCCAGGAGCTCCCACACAGCTCAGAGATGACAGCAAGACATACATGTGGCTCTGTTACATCATGCTGACCCTCAGCATCCTCGGGGAGAATTTGGCATGCGAAGCATTCGAGAGTGCCCTTGTGTTGGTTCAAGGCAGGAAGGATTTGGAGTTGATCTGGATTGAGTGAGTATTTGAAGAAAACTGTTCTTCTGGGGGGCGTTTTACTAAACTTGTGATCGGTGACAAATGACAGTTTTTGTTTAAGCTACTGAAATCCTTGCTTCTGATTGGTTATCAGCAGATTTGTCACTGATTTTTGTCATTTGTCATTGAAAAAAGGCTTTGTGAAACGGGCCCCTGGTCTTCCCAAAATCCTTTGCTCTTGTCACCAGTTATCCACTTTCAGAACTCAACTAAAGACATACCTATTTCAGATTGCTTACAATTAGTCACTGCTTTTTATCTTTCCCAGTTAGAATCATGAACAGACATTTTTGGTAGTTTTTCAGTCTCATCAGCGCCTTTGATTAGGCAACTAGATATTGGCGCTTTATAAATACCTGGATTGGATTGGATGCTGTTTTATTTGTAAGGGAATGATTGAAATGACAGGGGATCATTGAGAGCTTTAAAGCCCCTCTGCACTAGTTTGGTCGAGGAGGGATTAGACCTCCCTGCATGGTCACTGACAGGTGCTTATCTCATCAAATAAACTCTCAATTAACATAAGAAACAGGGGATCATGGGGAACCGATGGTTACCGATTAGGCATTGTTTGCCATATAGAGGGCGCAAGTAGCTATAAGTAGTGCAGTGGGCTTTGAAAGAGGTCTGGTGAACGTAACAAGAGCTCTAATTAAAAAACAAAAACAACAAAAGTAAAATAGCAAATTGTCTTGAAAAAGTGTTATGATAACAATAGTAAATCCAAGAGGAGCTCCTCTGAATGAATTAAGTATTTTTTGCACTATGTCCTTAAATATGTAGAATTCATTTTGGTTATGTTTATGAAAGTACTAGCGTATGATTTGTTCTCGTCTCTACATCCTTCAATCTTTGGATTATTACAACGGAAGGGTTCTAGTACATGTTCGACTTATTATACCTCTCACCTCAACACACAATTACTCAAAACAGCAAATATTAACAAAAAACAATTAAGATTTACCCATGACTGGTGGTGGATTGGATCTCCCCTTCACCTCCCCTCTCTGCTCATGCGCATAACTTAAGGTTCTATTAACAAACCTACCACCATCACTAGGCAATATCTTCATAGATATCGATCATAATTTCCATTAATTTTCATTGCTTTCTGCTCTATTCATCCTCTAGATATATACGCTTCGTCGCTCGCCAGACCAAAACGACATCCCGCGACTCCCTTCCCTCGCTCACAAAGCTCGTTCACAGATGCTTGGTTTCCACGGCAACCCGGTATCCTCGTCCTTTCGACCGATCAGGGGAGATGTGGAATGACTTCTCCTTTCACAATCGAGTGATCGCTGTGTACATTGAGCAGGTGGGGGTTGGAGAGCGGATGGAGGAGTATGAGAAGCTTCAGCTGCAGATGCCGGATAATGTTGATCTTGCTTACAGGTGAGATTGCGGACCTCTGAAGTTTATTCTCATACAAATGTTTGTAAATCATCATACTCCATGATCTATAGTCTCATACGTATCCAGAAATATTTAGATAAGGACATTATGAAAGACATTGTTCATGCATGAATCACTAATAAGTTGGACTATTGTAATGGTCTGCTGTATGGGATCCCTGACTCTCAAATAGTGAGATTGCAAAGGGTTCAAAACACCTGTGATTTGTGGTTGTTCCGAATTCACACGGATTTACTCAGTTTCGTAAACAATATTTCAAACAGATTTGTTAATAATTGATCCAAATCTTAGTTACGAGCCCTATTAATTCGAGAAAGGATTACGGACCTATTTAGCTCTTATCAATGCCTTTTTCTTTTTTCTTCTTCTACACAGAGCTTGCCAGTATGCAGTTGACAATGGTTTCTCACAGCTTGGTCTTCAGATAGCCTATTCCACACTGCACAGATCTCCTGACTGCATCGTCTTCTGGAAAATGTACAGTATTTTTCCATTTCCATTTTATTTCTGTATACTTAATACTGTTGTAGAAGCACTTGAGACCATAGCTATTCAATTTGATATTTCATGGTATTTACACCATTTCCTTGCTTTCACTGTATTCGCTGTATGGAAGTGAGGGGGAGCAGTGGCCCATTTTACACATGCATATTCTAGTCACCACATGTACGCTATCAATGTGTTTAGCAATTAATTGATGGTTTAGATATTGGAAACCACTATTTTGTATGATTGGGGGGGGGGGACACTTAAAAAACTTAAAGACTTCTCTTTTGGCTACGGATTCAACAGAAAATATTAGTCCAACATAATTTCTTAGAAGATTTATTAAATATGTCTTGTAAACTTCTTCAAATTGCCATTTTCAACCACTGTCAGGATACAGATCCTCTCAGGATAAAAAAAGTAGAGGTACACCATTATTTATACAAGTTTTCAACTTGCATCTGTTCGTTTATGCATTTATACACCAAATCAAAAGAATTAAACTTCAAACCGTGAAGGCTATAACTTTCATTTTTATACGGCATACATTCTTGTTATTCTCCTGTAAGTTGTTAGGACAAAGATTTACCCTTTAGTCCGTTAACTCTTCTTGCCAACACATTAATTTTTGTGGATTTGTTGGTCGTCGACAAGTGGTTATTGATAGGCCCCCTCCATTGTTCATTTCAGAGTAATTTCATTGGCCCTTCAAAGTCAGCGCTTGAAAGAGGTGAGGGAAACGTACGAGTGCAATGATACTCATAATAAGTGGAAACAAGTTAAGTGAAAACGATATTGAACATCCATTATTTGTAGCGTGACATTTTAAAAGTCAGCTATGAACGAAAGGTTATCATACATGTTTTGAAAGAGTGTTATATCCCAGATCGTTTGATATCATTTTTGTGTGGTATGTGTTCACGCTTGGATGAACAGGAGGCATTGTTTGCGAGAGTGCAAAGATCGACTTGCGCAAAAGTATCAAAGTGAGAAAATGAATTGAATGTATCAAATGAGATGCATTGCATTTGCTTTTTGCAAAAACAAAGTCACACACACTCAGAGGAGTAACAGCTATCTGAAACCTCAAAATCTAAAGCTTTGAAAATCGGAAGTTGTCGACCTAAAAAAGAGCTAGTACGAGGAGTACGCATATTCACAATGATTTCGCATTAATCAAGGGGTTTTAAAGAGGGTCCTTGCATTAATTAAGCACGGCTCATCGCCTCAGCTTTATAGGTGAGCTGATGGGGTCCACATGTTATTTTGTCAATGCAATTGCGGCAAATTGGACCTATGTTGACCTGTAATTTGGAAGGGTGTGGGAAATGAGGTTTCAATTTGCTTTTGTGTTATACTGAAAGGGAAAATAATGTTATGCCTGTATTTTTGTATTCTATGTTCATTTAGCTTTCCAGTGATTATAAAGTTGTATTTTCATTGAATAGGGTCTTTAAGGACCTAGGGGGTGTTTTACAAATATCTTAAGTTGGACTTAACAATTATGGAAAGCTGTTAGCATCTTTGAAAATATTTTGTAAAGGTTATTTTAAAAAGCATAAAATGTTGATTCAAATCATTCATATTTTCTATGATCAAGGAGATTTCATGTTCTTGATGTGAAATTTATAAAAAGTGTAAAAATACTTGAATTTTGACTTTTGAATATATTTTATTTTAAGGCTACAAATGGCTCTCCATAATTTGTTAAGTCCAACTTAGAGTTAAAAGTTCAACTTAGGATCTTTGAGAAACACCCCCCCCCCAGCTGTGTGATTATATTTCGAGAGAAGCGATCTAGAAATTATTTATGTACATGTTATGTAGTGAGTAGGATTTTTGTGTATAACTGCAACACCAAAATTCCATTAGAATGATAAACAATATTTTATTGTAAATTAAAGAATTACTTCGAATAGAAGCTAATTTAATTAACAACCAACAACTTTAGTCATCGATATGGATTAAATTGAATAGCATGTTAAAAGTATTCTTTTGCATGATACATTTCCAATTATGCATCTATTTTTTTTCTGAAAATGGGTGTGTAAGGGTTTTATTTCAGTATATATTTTGAATTTGTGCTGACACAATTCTCTTTGTTTTTTTTCTCCCCTTTTTCACATCACTATCTCCTCTTTTTCTTTATTCTTTCCATTCACATTTTCACCTAAAATAATCATTTATTTTCCACCTTTTTTACATGATATCCTATCCCATTTGCTATGGTCATACCCCTCACATGCCATCTTTTCCTCTTCATGTTTTGCTTTCTCTCTTCTCTCCTTTCTTTGGTCAAAAAATCTCTTCAAAATTGTCTATTACTTTTTCCCCTCCCCCATTTGGCACTCCTCATGGTTTTCTCCTGCCCTCTACTTTATTTGCAATATTGTATCTCCATTTCTCTTGTTTGTCCAATCTTTAAATATTTCTTTTTGTTGTGAACACAATCCTTTCCTTTGTATTCTATTCTTCTTCTTTTTTCATCTTTTTTCTTTTAATTTTTTCATTTCTTCTGTTTTTTCCTTCATTTCTTGTTTCATGTTCTCCATACATCATTCTTTTCCTTTTGTTATTCATCCATTTTGTTTGCCTATCATTTGTTTGTTCATCGGACCTCCATGCAATGAAGGTACACTCCTTGTACGAGCAAGCAGTACTATACCACCACACAGTTTCCGCTCTATGGAAAGACGTAATATAAACTTCTTCTTTTTTTAATTCCTCTTTTTAAAATTCCTCTTTTTAAAATTCCTTTTCCTTTAATTTCTAACATTGTGAAGATGTTTAGTGGTTCATTCACTCGATTCACAATCCTAGGGTTGAGGGTTCGAATCCCAGCCCGACACTTCTTTTGGGCGTATTTGACACTCCACCCAGGTGTAAATGGGTACTAGAAGAAAAATAACTAAAGTATTCTGTAGCATACTAACTTTAAGCACTGGGTAGTGAATATTAAAAGAAAAATTTATATAATAGAGATCTTGTTATTTTCACATATTTTTTCTTAAAAAAATAACAAAATCAGTATTTGAGAGGGGAGGATGTGATTATGCTCTTGATCATGATTTTCCTCTTCTAATCCTTCACTGAGTTTATTAATTTAGTTTTTCTTAAATTATTATTTTAGTGATAGGGCATAAGAGTTGTTAGTTTCAATTTCATGATTTTTCTTCAGAATTGAGAAGGTCCACTAAATGACCCTAAAATATATATATATATAGGTATCCATTCACTTATTACATACCGGTATACGTCATCAATACAGTTGATGGGCCTAATCAGGAAGACCATACTATTGCGATTTCCAAGACCCTCATTCTTAGGGCTATAATTTCCATTCCCTGCCCCCTTCTCTAACACGAGCAGTACATTGCCTTCGTGATCGCTCACGACGTCGACGACGAGACGAAGCTCCGGGATCTTCTTCAGCGATGTCAGGAGATTGGGTTCCAGCAGTCCGATGTCCTGCCTGGAGCGCCCATAACGTGACACCACAGGTAAATGAAATGCACAGGCACAGGGATATCATGTAAGTACTTGTTCTACATTGTATTGTCCGCAGGCTGTATTGCAGCATCTGTTGCAGGCATGAGAAGCTCCCACGTTTCAGTGGTTTCCTGTTTATTTTAGGCCAAAATATGTCCTCTCTGAGTTCAATGTGAATCCGGTTTAAAATCTAGGTGGTAGAGGTGGTGCAGGGTGATGTATTTCGTACGTAAATTGAGATCGTCTCTCAAAAGACACATTTCATAAACACGCTGTTTAACAGATAAAATTACATTGAAAATTCCTTGGAAATGCTAGTTTTTAATTACCTAAATTGCTAACATTTTCTTTGATCATATTTTTAAAGGTATTTAAAATTTCCAGTTTTTTTCAACAAACTCTGTTCTCATGCCTGCTCTTGAGAGCCAGAAGGATGTACAAAATAATATGAGCCAACGCCCTTTTGGCAGTCGGTATGATGGTATTTTATCACGCCGCAATTGTGCCTTCATTTATGCAAGGAAATTATGAAATAAATTGACACAATACATCGATGTTACCGCCTTCTTGCTGGCAGTCCATGAAGTATAGAGTTCCCAAAGGTTTTGTGAGAATATAAATTTGTACTTTTCTTTCTTTTGACAGAAAAATGAATGCGAATATGCTTGTGAAAAACTGGAAATTGAAGTAATTTTACATAATTTCATTTTGGCACACATTCATAAGTCTATAGATGTAAATGAATGTGTTACTAACTCAAAAATGGATATTATCAAAACAATTTGTTAACCATTTCAATTATGTTTCCCCATGGGTCCCCAGCACCTGACGGCCAAGTACTACTCTTGAGGATCTTCATTTGCACGGACAACTGCTGCAGAAATCGCTGTTCCTGCCCGTCACGGCTCGGTCTGCCGACGCTCGTTTGTGATTGGACGCAAGGAAGGCGATAGTCGACCAATCACCAGCCTGGAACAGTGGGTAGTGTAAGTATGAGTGTTGCACAAACCATCCCTTGACAAAGCATCTTGCTCATTTACTTCTATGAACCTGAAAAGTACTTCTCAATCCTTTCTTCAAGCCAGAAGGAAATTTCTGTGTTTCTTTTTCATTGAAACATTTGTTACGATATTGTTTGTAAATTGTTGGTTAAACTATTTAATTCTACCATGTGCTTCAAAGCTTTAGAAAAAATGTATGTTCTCGATAAAAGTTATTATGATCATATAAAATATATTCATAGAGAAATGATTGCCCCAAGTTTGAGACAAACAAGCAGTTTAGAAATTCATTACGAAATGTAACTCCCACCCCTTTCATGACTCGAAATGATACTTTTGCAAATGAACAAGATGCAATAATTTATGTTTTTCTTTTGGCGTTTTCCTTTTTCACCTAGATTCCATGTTTCCTTTAATCTCATTTCTTTTCATATCCCTTCTCTTCTCCCTTCCTTTCCTATTTAGTTCTCTTGTCCTTAGTATGGCTGTATCAGACTGTGTAGTGTCTGTATACAATGTTTTGCTTGTACCCTCGTCGGTTTTGCTTTTGTTCGACTCTATAATTTCACTTTATGTTTCCCAGTCTGATATTGTACATTTTCTGTGGACATTCCTGTGCTACCTTTGATATTAAACATAATAACATTGTTCTTTTCAATGTAAGACAATATATACGGTTAGAGTCAGGTACTCAGCTGTGCAAATCAGAATGCTATGCAAATGTTTGCTGAGAGCATAAAGGGCCTTAACTCGCATCAAATACAATTAAGCTCACGCCCTTATGTTTCTCAACAGATCAAATAGTTTCATTTTAGTAGACGTGCTCTTGTGGAAGTTAATATATGTTTCTTGTAATGTACCTCAAAACCAGAACTTTGGCATTCTGAAACTTCACAAATTGTGGAAGTTAATATATATTTCTTGTAATATACCTCAAAACCAGAACTTTAGCATTCTGAAACTTCACAAATTGTTTTTGTTAATGATGGCCATTTTCGCACAAAGATACATTCATGAATTGCAAACAGCCATCATTGATATTTGATCATTTCATCTGTTTGGAGCCAAAGGGTTGTTAACTCTGTTTAAAATTATATGATTCAATGACCTTCTGGCTCCAAACGAATGGCATGAAACTACAAATTCTGTAAACTTTCATCATCGGGAAGTTTTCCGGTTTTACAGGTTTCACTTAAAACCAAGGGGCCGGCCACTATCTATTTCTAATTCATGCAAATATAGCTCTTGCTAGGTTAAACCAACTTAGCAATATTTTGTTGGTAAAATATGCACATTTTAAAGATGTATTTCAATAATTGCTAACTGTGCATCTCCGAAATTCATTTGATAATGCTGTTGATTTCAACCTTGTTATGTTGATTATGATGAACCTGGTGTGAATTTCATACAAATTTATAATTTCGATAAAGACAGTGTTCAGGGCTTAAATTAATCCAAGGCCAAGGCCATGGCTGTGGATGCCCTTTTGATTGGCCTCAATGCCCCTCTCATTGGCCTTGGAGATTTTTTGTGCCCTTTCCAATTCTTCCTATTTGTGCTGTAATATAGGAATGTGCCCTACAGAAAAGTGGCCTTGCCCTAAAATTATTGAAATTTAAGGCCTGAGTGTTAGCATAATATAAAATGCTTCTGTCGATTGAACATACATATAAATTCCATTATCTGCATAATTAAAAAAATATCCTGAATGAAATGAATCTGATATTATCTGATACGATGTTTTCTTTATCATTTACAACTAACCATACATATCATTAAACAACAGTTGTTAGAACATTTAAATTATGGATCACCGTTCATGACCATTCCAGACCCCAGACAGTCCATGTAAATTTAAATATAGGGTCGTGATCAAAGATATACATGTATGGTATATATATTTAGATAAGAATTAAATCGGAAAGAATTGAGTTGGAGCAACATTTTCGAGTAAGAGTATTTGTTTTAAGTGATTTTGCTTGTTGAAAAAAACGATGGGTGGATATTTATTGATAGTTAATTGAGGCCAGGGAGACTCTTGCAAGAACGCTTTTCAAGAAGTTACCCCTTTGCCTACGGGAACCTAGTGGCTCATGCCATAAGCTTATGGGAATGACAGGATTCAGGAGTCAAGGGCTTAAGAAAGTGGACCTGAGCATCTCGATGACCATTGGATTGCCTGGAATCGGATGTACAACACAGACGTGTGATTCGTTACCTGTGAGAAGACTATGGCAAGGTGGCGATGGAACGTTGGATATTGAAGTGAGAGTCCGGATGCGAAATGATCAGATGACGGTGGACATCGCTGCTTGGAGATTAGCCGACTAGTATTAACAAATTCCTGCTGCAGAGCTGGCCGGATTGTTGGCTTCATTCAAAATTGATGAATTGATTTCAAGCACAAAACCAAAAGTGATGAAAACATGGATGTTTCATTAAAGTGTATTAGGAATATAAGTTTTAGTCTAAAGTTTATCAATGAGATTCATTATTTTATCTTTAAAGATTATTCTGCACCTATTATTTTTTTCTCTATTTCATTTAGGGATAGTTCTTACAGCATATTGTATTTTACTCCCTTCAGATTAAGGATGGTATTATAAGATGAAAATATGAATAGCACAAGAAAGGGATTTATGCACATTTTTTATAGCTGCATTGTGTGATGAATGCAAGTTGAACAAAAATATCAATGAAACTCCACTTCATTGTCTTTAAGAATTTTGTAATCCTTCATCAACATGTATTCATGATGTTATCATTATTTTGCCTTTAGGTTTAATCTTTGAGAGTCACACAGGAAGTGATTCATAGTTCTGGGGATTTTTTTTAATGATTTTATCTTGCTAAGTTGTCATGGGAATCACAATAATGTCAATCACAAAACTATGGGATTGTTTTTATCAAAATTTCAAATTCACTGGATAATTCTGTCTTTCCTATGAACATTTATGGAAAGGCCACTGCATATCTTACAATTTGTCTGTGTGAATGTTTTGAAAGAAATTGCAATAAAATTGTACATGAGGGACCTGTTTCACAAAGCCTTTTCATTGACAAATGAAAAAAATGAGTGACAGATCTGCTGATAACCAATCAGGAGCTGGGATTTCACTTGCTTATGAAAAAAAACTGTAATTTGTCACTGATGATAAATTTTGTGAAATGGGGGCCAAGTTTTGAAAATGTTTTCTTACTGAATGTGGTACCAAAAGATCATTTCATTTGTTTGAACCTGAAAGGCACTTACTCTGTATTATACTACTTGATTAAATGCCCTTCGGGCTCCAAACAGATGATTTAGAAAGTCACATCAAATTGCGGAATGTTTGAATAATCAAGTCTGAGAAAAGGCATACCGTAATCAGCTGTGGATTGTAGTACCCTCTTGCCTGTTGCATGTCTTCCCATCAATTACTAGCCAGCTGAATCGTAATATTTTCATACTGCGATGCTTAAGTTTTACACATTTTCGTGTTAGCTATTCATGTTTCATCATTCAGGAAGAATTTACATTTGCAAAATTTTATGTTTAATCCTATTGCAATTTCTTTCAAATCAGGTCATAGTTTAGGCGTGAGTTGTGCCCTGGCCTGCACATTACACACAATATTTTCAGTCTTTCATGAGTCTTAAAAAAACTAGAATCCTGTTGGATTAAATCATACATGATTACTTTTGAAACCCTTTTTGTCACAAAGCTTATGAAAAATTGTAAAAAAAAGTGACATTTCAAAAGACATATTTTAAGTTTGAGTTATTTTTCATGATGCAAATTGCGCATAAAATATCCTTGTTTTTCACAAACATTGTTTCAGAAAGAGAAAATCATTTATTCTTAGTTTAGGAAAATTCTTTGTCTGGTTTTCTTGATAAAAGCATGGAAAGGGTCAAAATTCTGATCAAATTCTAATTTCATTGCCCCAACAATCCAATCTTCATTCATTTTTATATATTCTGTTTTCTGTTCAAAGTTCCTTTACATATTATTATTATGGAGGGTTTAATCCAATTTATTATGTTTTTCAAAGAGCCTGTGAAAGACCTAATTGTAATGCCTATCCATAAATTTCCCCAATAACAAAAAAGGGCGCATATTATAAATTAATTGTGGTGCTATCTGGAAAAAAGTACTAGTTGTCATTAAGAAACGGGTTTGGTGTCCGAACAATTTTTTTATTTCAAAGCTGAATAGCTTTGAATAGCTTTGAACACCGTCAATTCATATTTATGCAAAAATTGCAAATTACTTTGAATTTATGGCAAATCAGTTTGAATGTATTTGATGAAAACAGGAAATTTATGAAACTCTTGATAAATATAACATACTCTTTATTGCTTTCATGAGATAATATACATGATATATATATGTACTGGTACTGTGGTATAAGTTCATGAAAATATATTTCTTTGCGTTTTTATTACAAAATGAAACAAAAAATAGTTATGGTTTTTATTTGTTGTGTCATGTTAAATTTGACTGCAATTGTATGCGTGAATTAAGGGCCATTTCTTTCTCCCAAAAAAAAAGAAGTTATTTTAAAGGTTGATTATGAGAATGAACTGAAGCTTGAAGCTAGTCATTCACACTTTTTCATATACCTGATACAATATTTATTGGCCAATTGATTGATTGATTGATTGATTGATTGATTGAGTGAGTGAGTGAATGTTTAATTGATCGATTGAGTGAGTGATTGATTGTTTGACTGATTGTTTAATTGATTGATTGAATGATTGTTTTATTGATTAAGTGATTGATTGTTTAATTGATTGATTAAATGTGTGTTTGCCTGATTGACTAATTGTTTGATTGATTGTTTAATTGATTGATTAAATGTTTGTTTGCCTGATTGACTAATTGTTTGATTGATTTAGTGATTGATTGTTTAATTGATTGAGTGATTGAATGTTTGATTGATTGTTTGCTTGATTGATTGATTGATTGAATGTTGGATTGATTGAGTGATTGAATGCTATTGATGATGGATTGATTGACTGAGTCATAAAATTGACTGATTGGTTAGTGAATGGATTGACTGAGTCATAAAATTGACTGATTGGTTAGTGAATGGATTGATTGAGTTATAAAATTGACTGATTGGTTAGTTGATGGATTGATTGGTTAGTTGATGGATTGATTGACTGAGTCATAAAACTGACTGATTGGTTAGTGAATGGATTGATTGACTGAGTCGTAAAATTGACTGATTGGTTAGTTGATGGATTGATTGAGTCATAAAATTGACTGATTGGTTAGTTGATGGATTGATTGACTGAGTCGTAAAACTGACTGATTGGTTAGTGAATGGATTGATTGACTGAGTCGTAAAATTGACTGATTGGTTAGTGAATGGATTGATTGACTGAGTCGTAAAATTGACTGATTGGTTAGTTGATGGATTGATTGAGTCATAAAATTGACTGATTGGTTAGTTGATGGATTGATTGACTGAGTCGTAAAATTGACTGAATGGTTAGTTGATGGATTGACTGAGTCATAAAATTGAGTCATAAAACCGATGAACACGTCCCACTGGAAACTGGAGCCCTGCACGGGATTGGTTAGTTGATGGATTAAATGAGTCATAAAATTGACTGATTGGTTAGTTGATCGATGGATTAATGAGTCATAAAATTGATTGATTGATTGTGGAATTTAACAAGTAGGCATAAGGGAAGAAATACATTCTTTCTTTCCATTTTTTTTTTAAAGAGTGCCCATTTTTTTTCTTCTCGATCTAGCTCGATCAATTATGATTCAATTCTATTGTGTTCATATACTGTCATTCAAGCCAATTTTCTTGTTGTTTTCCCAGCCCCCTTTCCTCATTTTGTTCTTCTCTTGCTCACTTTCTTTTCATTTCATCATTTGATTGGGAATTAAGGTGGGGGAGGAGGGGGGGGGGGGGGTACGTCGATTGATGTGCATGTGCATGCCCCTGTCCCATCCGGGGCAAAGCTTTTCTGTAATATTTATGGACATTTTTAGAATGTCTTATGTCTAATTAATTCATTTTAAGATAACATTGGTTTGAATAACAAGAATACATATGATTTTGATAATAATAATCGTTTCAATAAAGCTAGGGAACGTTCAAAAAATTAAACATAATAGTGATGATGCACTTTAGTTATAATAGACCGCCTGTCATCAGTTTTAATTACAAGTTGATTATGTTAGTTATGTTTATAAAAGCATAATAACCCTGTTAACAACAACAATCAAATGTTATGACGTTCATGACTAATTGAGCATCCTTAATTAATGGCTGTTAATTCATGACTCATTAACAGCTGTGTGTTAAACATATCACATTAACAGCTGTGTGTTATTAAACATATCACATTACAATGACGTCATCGTTGTTATTAAATGTTGGAAAATGGCGACTTCTACGACTACACGAAGAGCCCAGGTAAGATTTCTTTGATTTCATCGCACTTTGACAATAATTCATACGTTTCAGAATTACTATACAAAGTAAAAAATAACATTACATGCATATTGAACTTATCTGCTGTCAATTGGTCTTGAAAATCAGTTTTCCAGTTCCGGAAGTTTATACCGCAGGTTCAGCTCGGTCCCATTAATTACATTTTTTGTGGCTGGTAACTTTGAATAAAATTTTCCGACTCCGTAAACGTAAACCGAGTTACGCCCATTCCAATGCATACCATAGCCATAGGCCATACACCACTCGGCTCATTTGGTCTAATAGTCTACCTCTTTCGGAGCCCTACATTATTACATGGATGTATCAATCATGTAGATCAGTGAGATTGATAATCATAATGAATAGAAATATTAATGGAGTGGGGAATTAAAAAAATTTTGTTCAATGAAAATGAAATGGACTTTCCTGAAAAAAGAAAAAGGCTAGATCTAGATTAGTAAAAGAGTTCTGCAGTTTTGGATTCGTTTTGTGTTATTTTGTTTTATTTTCTTGTGTTTGCTCCGTTTTGTATCATTTTAGAATTACACAATAAATTCAATGAAACCTGATGAAAAGGCAATGAATGAAACAAACTTGAGAAATCAATTTAAAGGAGACTTGATTTTTTTTTTTGTATTCTCATGTCATGGTTTCAGAAATACAGACAAGAGGCAGAGCCTTTAGACACTTTCTTTGCCATGTTTGCTGGTGCTGCAAATAAATCAGTTAACTAAGTTAGAGGGCCTACCAACTTAAAGGGGATTTAAACTGACGAATACAGGGGAATGTAAAAGAATGGACTTGATTAATGGTAGTCAGCGAAACAGACCAAAGTTCTCCTCACGCTTTGGTTTCGCATATGTTGCATGCACATGATTGCTGCGGTCTATTCCGTAGTTGTATTATACCCAATTTGCCTCGAGTCAGGCCACGGGAAAGACATGTAGTCTCGTCAGTTTACACTCCCTTTAAACCTACCGGTACTTACGTCTTAGACCCACACGAGGTGAAGGCGGGTAGACCATGTCACTTCCAGTTCGGGTTGAAACCCGTACTAATTTGGTCTGCTTTCATGAACACCAGTCTTCCTATTTTACAGGTGTTTGTTGGAGATCTCCCGGAGGACTTTCTCCGGATCGGAGGCGGACCAGCCGTGCAGCAACAGCAGCAGCAGATCACGTTGGACGAGCAGACAGCCAGGGCGCTACAGTTCGGAGGGCAGAGTCAGCAAGCGCAAGGAGGATATGGATCATTTGTCGGTCGACTAAGCATCACAATTGCTCAGGTTATTCAATGCAATTCAATTCAACTTTATTTCATATCTCTTAAAAAACCCATCAGAAGATATACAAACAAATCAGTATTGATTAAACAATATAAATATAAAAACATTAATTGACATGGTACTATGAAAGAAGGATGAAGGGTGGTAGATGCAAGTGATACATTTCTATTGAGTTTCAGAGAAATCCATTTTAACATAAAGACTGTGATGAGTAGTAGTACTGTGATGAGTAATGTGTAGATTACTGGGCATTAAGATTTTTTTTTTACTGGGGCCAGTTTCTCAAAACCGTCATAAGTATAAGTTCGTGGACATCCCATAGAAATGTGTGTTAATTCTATAACACACGCTTCAATGGGATGTCTAAGAAGTTAGACTTATGACGGTTACAAGAAACGGCCCCCAGATCATCAAAAGTATGATTGTAATTTTTTGTGAGATATTGGTACTCAAGTTCAAATGTATTCCAAAGATTTAAAACAAATTGAAAGATAACAAGATTTGTCTGCCTTTTACTATGACTCCTTGAATGTAAATAGCGTTGTTCTAAAGTTAGAAAATAGTTTGATATGAAAAATTGCATGTAAAATTGACATACATGTATCTCAAAGTGCCACACATTTATGCCTCCACTAACGAAAATTGTGACATGTTAAAGCCACACTGTCCTACTTGTAGCTACTCATCCCTCTATATAGAAAACCATGCCTAATCGGTGACCATTGGTCCCCCATGATCCTTTTGTTCGTATGTTAATTGAGAGCGGAGTTGATGAGATAACCACCTGTCCAGTAACCTTGCAGTGTGGTCTAATCCCTCCTTTAAACTAGTACAGATAAGCTTTAAAATGAACTCTAAACAAATAAATATTTGAATTTGTGTTTTCCAGGCAAGATTAGCCAAGAACTACGGCATGACGAGGATGGACCCTTACTGCAGAGTGAGGGTGGGACATGCAGTCTTCGAGACACCGACTGATGTGAACGGATCCAAGAATCCAAGGTGGAACAAAACCATTCAGTGCAACCTGGGCCAGGGCATCGATTCTGTTCACATAGAACTCTTTGATGAGGTAAATGTTATGTTTTCTGTCATGTTGAGAGAATAGACTGACCTTAGAAGGATTGTTCAGAAGTATCATCATTTTGTTTGGGATCTCTAGTTTCATATTCACATTTATATTCATACCTGAATTTATTCATAGTGTGATTCAGATTTCCATTTAAAATTCTTGCTATGTATAAGTCATATAACTGTCTTGTTATGTTGTGTGCTGAGAGCCTGAGGACCCTACTTCATTGACTTGTTCTTTATAGAGTCTTTGCACACAATACCATGTTTTTGTCTTATGTTTCACATATTACATGTTACACCAATAGAAAAACATTTTCTGTATCATATATGGACAACAAAATTTTGAATCTTGAATCTCTGATATTCTAAAAGCATAATTATTGCATGTCTTTATGTTTTTTTTATTATAAATGTGTTAGTTTTAGAATCATTTGGATGAAAAAGATATGCTTACTGTTTCCTTAATATGTTGGATTTTACAAGCAGCCAATGTCAATATCTCGGGCTGAAAACAAATTTGGAAATGTACAAATATGTGACATGAAAATGAGGTGTCTTCAATAATAATGACATTTTCTTCTTGTATTGCCATTATCACATTACGATATAATTTCCCTATGCACTTCTAAAGAGCTTTAACTCTTAAGCTGCCACCTATACAATGCACCCAGTGCCACAGTGCTAATCCCTATTGTGCCAGCCACAAATCTCCTGTGTGCCAAGTTAATTATGCCTCCGTTACGAAGTAGCCGGAGGCATTATGTTTTCGGGTTGTCCGTCCGTCCGTACGTCCGTACGTACGTACGTACGTACGTCTGTACGTACGTACGTCCCGTTCTCGTGATCGCGTTATCTGAAGAACTGGTTGATGGATTCCTGCCAAACTTTGGTCATGTACGTATCTTGTAGAGCCGATGAACTGATTAGATTTTGGGGTTACGAGGTCAAAGGTCAAAGGTCACAGGGCTCATTATGTATGCAAAACAAGCTCGTGATCGCGTTATCTGAAGAACTGGTTGATGGATTCCTGCCAAACTTTGGTCATGTATGTATCTTGTAGAGCTGATGAACTGATTAGATTTTGGGGTCACGAGGTCAAAGGTCGAAGGTCACAGGGCTCATTATGTATGCAAAACGAGCTCGTGATCGCGTTATCTGAAGAACTGGTTGATGGATTCCTGCCAAACTTTGGTCATGTATGTATCTTGTAGAGCCGATGAACTGATTAGATTTTGGGGTCACGAGGTCAAAGGTCAAAGGTCACAGGGCTCATTATGTATGCAAAACGAGCTCGTGATCGCGTTATCTGAAGAACCGATTGATGGATTGCTGCCAAACTTAGGTCATGTATGTTACTTGCAAAGCCGAAAAACTGATTAGATTTTGAGGTCACAAGGTCAAAGATCAAAGGCCACAGGGCTCATTATGTATGCAAAATGAGCTTGTGATCGCGTTATCTGAAGAACCGATTGATGGATTGCTGCCAAACTTAGGTCATGTATGTTACTTGCAGAGCCGATGAACTGATTAGATGTAGGGGTCACAAGGTCAAAGGTCAAAGGCCACAGGGCACATTATGTATGCAAAAACAGCTCGTGATCGCGTTATCTCAAGAACCGATTGATGGATTCCTGCCAACTTAGGTCATGTATGTTTCTTGCAGAGCCAATGAACTGAGTAGATTCTTGGTTCATAAGGTCAAAGGTCATGGGCTCATTATGTATGCAAAAATAGCTTGTAATCACAATATTCTGAGAACCTGTTAATGGATTACAATTGAACTTGAATTCGAAAAATTTCTTCTGTTTTGGTTTGTAAAATTGCTCTATGACGGAGGCATCATTTTCGACTGCGCGCAGTCGAAGTTCCATCTAGTTTTAAGGTTGGTTCAAGTGCGTGTTATTTAAATCTTTACAAAAAACAAATCGCTGAATTACTCGAGAAAATCCAATCTGACTGTTGTATACAAAGACGCGTAATCCAAAGCCGATAATCTGATGCACGCGATGGTACTTTCAATAGCGCTGCAAAAGCACTCAGCACGGTGCAGTGGGCATGAACAATAACTGTTATTACATATGCGTGCTAGCGTGCACAAAGCAGAGTAGCGGTGGCTCGCTAGCATGAACAAAGCAATCAATCGATAGCGCGCTCGCGTGCACAGAGCACTATAACAATAGCGCGCTAGCAGTCTCATGGCAGGATATGAGTTAAATAGCTTTATAAAACAACTTCCACTATAGACTATATTTCAATCTTTGACTTACTTGACTCAAGCCATCCACACCATCACTGGGATGTATGATGGCTTCTCTTACACAACGGCTTGCCACGCCTTCATATCTTCTGTCAGCCTAGTGGCTTTAGTCAAGGAATCAAGGTGTCTGTTGTTGCAGTCCGCCTTGATGCAGTCTGTCCATCTCTTAGCTGGTCTTCCCCTTGGGCGTTTGGCTTGTACATTTCCGTTGAGGAGGATGTGGGGGTATCTTTTTGGATTCATTCTGTTGATAAGTATCTCAATCTTTTTGTGGCAACCCTATATTTCAATCATCTTCAACAATTTATGATTTGTCATCTCCCTTCTCTCTCTCTGTACCTCACCTTGTCTTATGTGCAGAAAGCGTTTACGACGGACAATAAGATTGCGTGGGCGCTGATCACTGTACCGCCCTCTGTGATGACCGGAGAGACGAAGGACGATTGGTTTCCTCTGACGGGAAAGCAAGGCGAAGACAAGGAAGGGATGATCAACTTAATCTTCTCTTACACGGTGAGTAACGTTATACAGGTGATGGATCTTTAAAGCCCCTCTAAAGTGTTGGGACTTAAATTGTATCATAATGTGAAAGAGGATGTCATTTAAGACACACTTCTGCAAAGATTCCCCCCCCCCCCTAAAAAAAAAAAAAAAAAAAAAATGTGTTTGAAGACAAATATTTGTAAAAGAATAGATAATTCAGGTTTTCTGTTGTATGCAGAAAAGTTGAGAAAACCTATATTTTGTATTCTTTCATCAATATTCAACTTCAAACACATTTGTTTTGAAAACCCTTGCAGAAATGTGTCTTAAAATTTTGAGTATGGTTTCAACAAATACAAATGTGTACCAAACTGCAACTACATGTTGTTTGTATACCTTTACTATGTACATTCCTTGTTAATACGCACTTGGGCTGCTCTTAAAACAAACATATTATTTTTCCACTGCAGCAAGTGCCAGTGATGCCGATGATGTACCAACCTCCACCACAGCAGGTCATCTACGGAGGTCAGGTACCCGTTGCCATGCCACCAACGTACGGATACACACCCGTTGCAGCACCAGTTGCAGGTAAACCCTAATCATTGAGAAACATTAGCCTAAAAGGGATGGTTAAACCATATTCAGAGATTTGAGAACGAAAACTAATTAAGGAATTTATGTAGAAAATTTGTGACATCCGAGAAAATCACTGCTGATTTGGATATAAAGATGCCACCAAATTCACTATTTCAACCTAATATTTTAAGTTTTCGAAATAGCAAAAATATTTATTTTGAATTTAAAAATCAAGAAGTAAAATTAAAAAAAATGATGCAATAGCCTAGGATTATGTTGACTTGCTATTTTCAAAAATCCTAGAAATATGACCGATAGCTTTCAAAATAGGGAATTATGAGGGCATTCTAGAGGGCATTCTAGAAAACTGTACCAAAGACGTTCCAGAACACAAATGGCTGGCCACTTTTATTTCTACAGAGTGGTCCAACCTTGGAATAATCTACCAGAAAAAGTTGTGTCTGCACCTACAGTGGGGACTTTTATGAGTCGATGTCAATTGAAAGCCCTTCCCTTAAGAAAAAGAGGGCTAATCTACCAAGTATACCAAGTATACCAAGTAAATATATTTGTTTCTCTCTCTGTCTCTTTCTCTCTGTCTCTCTATCTATCTCTCTCTCTCTCTCTCTCTGTCTCTCTATCTATCTCTCTCTATCTCTCTCTCTCTCTCTCCCTCTACAGCCTACCCGCCTCATCAGGTACCCCATCAGCACCCACCACCACACGGCCAGCAGCAGCAGCCGCCACCACACCTCCAGCAGCAGGTGCAAATGCCCCCACAACAGCAGCCTCCGCAGATCACCCAGGCTGACCTCCAGGCACTCCAGGAGATGTTCCCCGGGTCGGACTCTGAGGTCATCAGGTCAGTCCTGGAGGCCAATGGGGGCAACAAGGACGCAACGGTCGATTCACTGCTCCAGATGACATGAGGGGTCAGAGAGGGGACGGCATGATTTTTTTAAATTAAAAACGGTACGTAGAGCAATCATCAATTCCGACATAGGGTGGTTCCTTGTATTGTGGCCCAAATGCAGGGCCCCACATTAACTTTTCTAGAAGGGATCCAGATTGAACTTTTTACACTCTGTATATGTATGAGCCCTATGATGTGAAAACTTCAATATTTTTGGTGGCCGGATTGATATTGTTGGTGTCCATGTGTCCCAGCGCACGTAAGTATCGAGCACTGCCATGTAACAAAAAATGTTGTATCCATTTACTTTATCTAGACATGAACATTTGCTGGTTTGACTAAAGTATTTGCAAGTGGTAATGAAATCTACTCTAATGCATACCTGGGACACATTGGCAACTTTTACATTGTGTTCGAGCATACAGACTGTAAAAAGTTTAATTCAGGGCCGCGATGCCCAAAACTTACTATTGATCGTAACTTTGCCATCAATGGTATCTACCATGGAAACCTTGATTCTGATTGGCTGTTGATCCCTGTTACCATGGTAGTTGCCATTGATGGCAAAGTTACCATCAATGGGAAGTTTTATGCAACAGGGCCCGGGGTCCCCTTTCTCAAAAACCGTTTAGTGTGGAGCTGTGCAGAAGAAATCATTAGTGAATATTATATCAAACGATTCTCATTGTTAGATGGAAAAAAGGGATAAAAGGTGTATTTCATAAGTAATACCGTTCTTAGTCACGGAATCATCCTAAGTTGTGTGAAGGGAATCAACCATTAAAAACAGATTTGCTCTTTATTTTTGAGGTTTCATACTGGGCCAAAATATCAGCTTCAAATATTACATCTGTGAATCTTTCCATAAAACTTTAGGCCTAGATCTTGAAACAGTAATTATGCAAAAGGGTGATTGGTTTCCTGTCATACAAAAAACACATTTTAAATAATTTCTTCTGTGCAGTAAATAATTTTAATCGTTTATGAAGTCTTATGGCAAAATGTTGTCTCAGTAAAGAAGTATTTATATTAGTTTCATGTCGGTCAAATCAAAATTGTCTGGACACAAATACTTAATAATTCCATATATTTCATGTTTAAAAATTTGTTTGTACAATATTTGTTGTACAATATTTCTTGCTTCAAGCAAATTAAAAATTAAGCAAGCTACTGAAATTATTGAATATTTGATGAAAATTGTACCAGATGTCTATTCCAAACTGTTAAGACAGTTATTTATACAAATATATTCATGACTAATGTATGTCATGAACTTGTAGATTATCATATTGCATCTTTAATTGTAGACCTTTCAATTATATTGGCTAACAGAATATTTAAGAAGTTCTAAATTGATATACATGTATAAAAATTGCTTGCATTCATATGACAAATTCTGCAGGTGGAAGAAATTGGTTTAGAGACAAATGTATCTTACTAGTGGTTTGTATTGAAGCTTTAGCTCTTTGAATTGACCTTTATATTTGCAGTGTAGTCCAATGTATTCAATTCCATGTTTGCTTTGAATTAATTGACCTTAGTGGTAGGGACCAGCTCATTTCATATGCGTCTTGCCATCTCATGTTTAATCTGGGCGAAGCTTTGTGAGACAATGGTTCGGCCTGTGAGTGGTCATATTTTATAAAGTTCACAGCACATGTCATTTAAAAGATACATTTATTACACTTGGGAAGAAATAAGATTATGGTCGACCAACCATTGAAAATTAAATTGCATTGTTAATTTTTGCAAATTTTGAGTATCATTATTATTAGATCATGTCATTGCTAACCCAAAATGACCCTCTAACTTTAGCAATAAAAGATCATGTTTATAATTATATGTTGAATTCAAGACAATATACTTAATTTGGGTGGAAATTGTTTCAACTTTTTTGAAATTTCATCCATAACTACGTCATTTCATAATCTAAAAAAAGGTCCCACGTATGTACATAGACAGAACAACTCAGATGGATATTGACCCAGATTTAATCTGGAAACAAAAATGAATGTCTTATGTGAATGTGCAAAGTTTCAGGTTCAAAGTCCATGCGATTATATGGAATTATTTCCAAAGTTATGTTAATTCAAATTTAAAGGGATCTCCATGTATTATATCATGGTATACACCGTGATATTGTGTACTTGAGCCAATAGGGTGTTGACTTGTTTAAAGTATGTGACTATAAAGTTGAGTTCTGCTCATCATTTGCATTGTGAAAGAAACGTGGAATCGTTCAGAAATTTGTTATCATAGCATATAAGTATCGGTGTGTACTGCAAGGCTCTAGAATCTTCAAAATGATAAGAAATTTGGCCCAGTCTTGGTAAAAGTAACAAGCACTGTACACACTTGAGAAAGGGGTCTACACAAAACTGTGGCATAAAAATTTGGTCCTCATTTTTAATCTGTTTCATGTCATATTTAGAATATGAAGGCATTTGAAGAGCCATGCTTTTCAGGGAACATGTCTTAACTGATGTTCTTTCACACTTGCATAATAACAATGATAACGCTCACAAATGATTTTTCACCTCTCTACAGAACTCAAGCTTATCTTTAAAGAGAAGGTTGAGTTCTGGGAAGAGGTGAAAAATAATTTGTGAGCATTACTCATTCTTATTATGCAAGTGTGGAAGAACATCAGTTAAGACATGTTCCCTGAAAAGCATGGCTCTTCAAATGCCTTCATATTCTAAATATGCATGTAACATCGTAAAAATCGGGGGCCGGCTTTTTACGCCACGTGTTCGTGTAGTCCCATATACATCATTCTGTGTACAGTGTTTGTAACTTTACCAAGACTTGGCCAAATTTCTTATAATTTTGATGATTCCAGAACCTCGCAAAACGCACAAATTCTTATATGCTAGATGATCAACCTTTTCTGGTCGATTCCACACCGTTTTTTTCACAATGCAATCACATGACCAGAACTCAACTTCATCTTTAATGTCCTTATGGCTCCTAAGAGAAGATTTATTTTCCTCCTCGTGAGATCCATCAAATTTTAATTTTTGTGTGATTTTAATTTTAAAGCCCCACTGTCCTACTTGTAGCTACTTGCCCGCTCTATATAGAAAAATTCCCCAATCAGTGCCTGTTGGTCCCCCATGATCCTCTTTTTCTTATGTTAGTTGAGAGCTGAGTTAATGAGATAGCCACCTGTCATTGACCTCGCTGTGTGGTCTAATCCCTTCTGGCCCAGTAGTATTGACGGTCTTTAAGAATAAATGCATGTTGGGTACTAATCAGAGTCTTTCAATTTTTATGCGATAGAAAAAGATATTAGAAATTACAAACCAAATCTAGATAATGGTGGAAGATTTAAAAAAAAACATCAATATGCATAGATTTTGAAATTTAGATAAGTAATTTCTTTGATACTTAAATTCCAGACATGTTGTAAGAAAAAAATGATTTATTTTGTCACATACATGTGTATATTACTTCATATTACACTGTAAACAAAACCGAAATGAGTTTTAAAGGGATCGTTTAAGAATGTTAAATCTGAGATGCATGGCCCAACGTGTTATCAGTGTCTGTGATATGGTGTAATATTGAAGCCCTAAAAAAATTGCGCTTCAAAATGATCAAGAAGTGCCTCAAAAAAGTAAAAATCTTTGAGTGACTGGTTTTACCATAGTCGTTTTCCCTAATAGACTGTAGTGTTATGAAAAACGTTTAGCAAACAGTTTTCAAAATTTGTTATTCCAATCATAAATATCTTTACAATAAGACAGGCTTGTAAAAGTCATGGAGTTCCTGACTGACCTTAAGGTTTATAATTATCATTGCAGCATGAGCTACATCCAGGATTTTGTTTCAGAATCTGAGACAAAGTTACCGGATTCCTTTAAGGATGTCAATTTCATGTACATGTATTGTTTAAAGAAACTATGAATTAGCAAATCTACGGAAGATCATTTTTTTAAAAGATGTTTGTAAGGTTACATAATGTTGCTAACTTGGGGTTAAACTACTTTATTTTTACCTTTTATTCCGCATTTTGTGCAAGATGCATTATTTCATTTCAGTGTTTTGTAAGTGTACCACAGAGCGCTCCTATTAATGCTATGAAATGCAAAATAGAAAATTGTTTTTCAAATTTGAATTCATCTTATTTCATCCTCTTACCAGAACAGTGACAAATTTATATGAAAAAAGGACATAAAGTGAAATTTACTACAAAGATATACAGTGTACTGTGTTATTTACAAATGTGTGAATGATCTGCTGTCATGCCAGTATGTATTGTATGAAAATCTTGTAGTAATACTGTTCAACATCCATTATTTTTACAGGGACAATTATGTAGAATGAACCGCCCCCATACATGTGTGTAATATTCAGCGTAAAGAAAGGGGACTGTTATGCGTCATAAAATCATATGCAGTCTTAATTGATCTCATTGATTTGAGTATTAATATTGATGATTTGATATTTAGAACAAATGAATGATTTCTATTTCTTTTATTAATGTTCATGTAATCGCTATTAATTACAGGTAATGCAAAAAGACCATATGCACAAAACCATCCAAAACATGCAAAATCAAAATACATAAGTAGATGAAGAAATATCCACTCATCATGAGTGGATATTTCTTCATCATATCCACTCATTATGAGTGGATATTTCTTCATCTACTTGTGTATTTTGATTTTGATGGATTTAATTCACAAGCAGTTTTTCAAGTGGACTGTAGAGTTTGCTAATCGGGAAATGCACTGCTTTCACCACTTATGCATATACTTGTACTTACACTTTCTCTCCCTCTCTCTCTCTCTCTCTCTCTCTCTCTCTCTCTCTTCTCTCTCTATCTTTCTATCGCTCTCACCCTTCTCTCTTTCTCTTTCTCACTCTTTCCCTCTCTCTCTGTCTCTCTCTCCATAACCACTCTCTCTCCCTCTCATCTCTCTCCTCTCTTTTTTTTTCTCTCTCTCTCCTCTCTTTCTCTCTCTCTCTATGCCTCTGTCTTTATATACACCAAATGTGTGCTTCATGAACTAGCTATTTTCATACCAACGAGGCGTTATTCTGAACTGTCTGGTTCAATATGAAATTAATAATTTACTCCCTCAAAAATCGGTTTTACCAACAAGTTTCTGATATTTCCCTAAGGAACAATACACACAACCTCTAAATCACATGTTCCATTATGCATGGATCGATGCATCAAGTTTTCATCGGTGACCTTGTAGAAATGAACAGCTCTCAAACTCGGGCTATCTTATTGAGTTATGTCATTCTGTACTTTTCATCGCTGTTACATTAATGATGATGTTCTAAATGCATCATGCTTGAATAAAATAAAATGAAATTTAAGTCGACAATGCATATTGTAGATACTCACACACCCACACTCACCTCCATGATATTGCTTATTGGTAAAGATATATGTATATAGTGCAACATCATTGCATCTGAAAACTAGAGCAAACATTTATTAGATTGCATATATCAAGTGAATTTTCTGGGACCCGTTTCACAAAGCCTTTTTTCGATAACAAATGAAAAAACAATTAGTGACAAATCTGCTGATAATCAATCAGAAGCAAGGATTTCACTAGCTTATAACAGAAACTGTCATTTGTCACTGATGACAAGTTTTGTGTAATGGGGGGGGGGGGGGCAGGTCTCACTTCTTTGTATTCCACCGTGTCATCCCGTAGCTCCTGCACTTTTTTTCTCCATGGAACACATTCCCTTTGATTGATAGGATAGTGATTGTATTGAATAATCTATTTATATTAAATGTATCATGAGAATAGACATTTTACGAAAGAAAATTGGGTTAGTCTGAGATTACCCTATATTTTAATGTAACACAAACTATTTAAATTCATTGACAGTGATTTATTAAATATGGAATTTAATCAAATATCATTGTGCATGTAGCTTATCAGTCAAACGGACATAATCTCAGTGGAGAAAAGCATATTATGCAGGGAATTATTTGTTTATATTTCCGTCATATGAAAAGAATATCCAATAAAAGGAAATTAACACAACAAAAAAATAAAAGAATTTACAAATTCATACATAATGTATAATATAGAGTCACATAAGCAAGAATAATCACATGGCATTGAATTGAAGAAGAAAAAACACATTGGCCCGAATTCACAAAGGAGGTTTGTCGACAAACCTTGGTTTTCGTACGTCATAAAAATTATGACGCGTTTTACGCGTTTTTTACAAACCTGGTTTGTAAAGAACAAAAGGAGGTTTGGCGAAACAAAAGGAGGTTTGAGCTCAAACCTTGCTTTGTGAATTCGGGCCATTAAGGACGAAAGAATATGCAACGATAGTATATACACAGAAAAACAGACGGCTGGGTAGCCTATATACTTACAGCTGCACTTGCATGAGCTAGTCTTCCATAGGGACTAGAGTCAGGTTGACTTACGTATTACAGTCATGGAAATGCATAGGCATAGCTCTTAAGCCTTAGAGTAATTAATTTTTAATGATTTGCTTTGATGTAAATTTCATTGGATAGAGCATTATCTGCACGAACTAGAATTGGGTCAAAATTGCTAAACACAACTTAATTCAAGGAAGGAGAGTATAGAAGAAGGAAATATTTAGTAGTTGTCGATTATTAGAATAGAATAGAATAGAATTTATTGACTCATTCGACCCCCTTCTGGGGTATGAGAGTACAACACATGTACATGTCATGATAATGATACATAATAAAGAATACAAACATAGCTTAATAATACAAAGAATACAGAATACAACAAAACAACAATATAAAAGTATAACGATAAAAGAATAGGAATGATCTAAACCTAGCCTATGCTAAACATAAACACAATATTATACAATATGGCAAGCATACAAGTCATGAAAAGTGGAGAATAGGAATATTATTATGAACGTGACCTTAATAAGATGCTATGTATGAAATATGAGAAATATGTATAAATAAATCTTTTTATAAGAACTCTCGGTTTGCATTGCTTCGTATGTAATAATCGCAGCATATTTATTTTGAGAGAAGTACCGGAAAGCGCCTCGCCGAGGTGAATATTAGAAACGATCGGAATTGAAGAGAAGTAGAAAATGAGGAAAGTCAATTTTTG